TTAATACTCTGATTAGATAAACAGAATGATGTAATTCCTGACCAGTTATTTCCGAACAGTAGAGCGATATCTGCTCCTACAGGTGTGGGTTTTATCTTGTCTTATCCTTAGTGTTAATTGCAGAACGGATCTTTTGACCATACTGAAATTACATTTCCCATTGATGTACTGCATAAGAATTCGGAACGACTCGTGCTGTGAGAAAATTACCAGGGCAAATTGGGAACTATTTTCATGTCTATTTTGACGCATTTTACCACAAGTGGAGAAACGCCATGACAACATTTTTCAAAAAACGCTGCAGGACTTGGCCCTAATCTCATTTCAAAGCTTTCCCGTGGCGATCATCCAGACATGAACATAACACTTGATCGTCAGATCTGAAACGACTTTCTGAAATGTTTTATTGAAGCTAAATTGATCAGTCTACACCGCTAGATGGAAAGGACTATAAGATGTGCTTATTTTTAAGATGGTTCATTCTCTTTTTCCGTATCTATTACGCAGGAACATAAAACAAAAACTGAAAATAAATGTTATATACAGGTTGGCAGTGAAATGAATTTACTGTTAATCAATTCTAAGCATTGGAATAAACCCAATTTGTTCCAATAATAAATTAAGCATACTGATTATGCTTTCTGTTTGGTATGAACTGATCTGCAATTTATATACCTGGTGCGCTTTTGTTCCAGTTTTTAACAAATATCATCGAATGTCCTTAACCCTATGCCGCTTATAACTTAGTTAGGGGTTTCTACATACCAAATAAAAACTTATGAGCTATCTATATTTAGTAAAATTCAACTAGCGGTCTATTATCAATGCTGCGTCCTGATTGGTTGAGCTACTACTAGGCTATATGTTATAGCCCACTAGTAGCGACTCGCGAAAAGCGCGGGCTTTTTGGCGGCAAAAAAGGATTAAAGTGTAGCTTTAACTAGCTAAATTTTTTTTATTCTCGATATTTTTGACCAACTAGTTGGATTTTACTAAAACAATTATTCCTCTCGCCCTTATGGCCTCTGAATCAATAGCCCATTCGGCCTTCGGCCTCATGGGCTATAGACTCAGAGCCCATTCGGGCTCGAGGAATAATTGTTAAGTGCACAGACCATATTGTAAATAAATAAATAAATAAATAAATAAATAAACGATAGATTTTACTCAACTTTTTTTAAAACGCACACAAGGAACGTCACGAATCTGTTTTTGACCAGAAGGTAATACTAAACGAGATCCGTTTGCATCTCTTTAATTTGATATATTTATGGTCCAGATTAGATTCAAGTGCAACTAAGAGAAGTCAATGAACATATTGGACAGTAAGGCTGTTAAAATTTGGAGTGCACAAACTACCCCTCAGCAAAACAGCTAATTTGGGCATGAGAAATAAAATTTCCTCCAAAAACTTGGTCGTCTTATACGCACATACCGAGGTCAATTGGCCTCAATTCTCTTGGAGCCATCGGCAAAAGGGCAATTACGGTCAAACTGCAATAGGAAGTTTTTTCAAAACGTTTTTTTTTTTGCACAGAAGCACTATATAATGTCGAATACTGGAACAAGCGCACGTCAAAAAATTACAGTTCATTTCATGCCAAGCAACAAGCGACAAGATGTGAACTTGAACTAGCTGTGGCTCGAAGCACAATTGACCTTGGCCAGTTTTTAATTATGTTACATTTTCAATAAATGCCTGGTTTAAGTCTAGAATTGTTCCAACTACCTTTTGCAGACTTGATAGACTAATTAAAGTTCTCAATATCCTTGAGAATTACAGTTGAAGTTATATGCAGGCACCTTCCATTTTAACTGGATTGTAGCCTCTGTTTACCGCCTATTTCCCTTTCGTAAACGGTCGTTGCCATTTTTAACGGTCGATTCCACCATTGGTAACCAAGCCTTTAGTCATGATGGATGTATTATATTCCCTGGATTGAGTTACAATGAGGCAAATAATGCGCTTTTGAAAAGTCTTAGAAAAAACGAAGTTGAAGCCCAAGTTAAATTTATACGTTAAAAAATTATGGAAAGGGCTACGTAGGGTCACCTGTTAGTATAGGTAATAGCATGATTTGTAGTGATATTTGGTATAAATACCACGAGTGATATTTCGAAATTGTTATACGTAATTTGAAATATCATGAGTGGTATTTTTGCCAAATATCACGTACAAATCATGCTATTATTTGTTTATACTACCACCCGCAAAAGGTTTGTAACTTTCACATGTAGGTATTTCAAATTATGCTGAATTACCACTGCTTTAAGCCAATCAAATTGCAGAAGTTTCTCATGTAGTAGCATAATTGACGTAACAGTTAAGAAGGACAGTTTGCTAGTGTATGTAATTAATTTTTTCGGAATTTTGGCGGGTCGGTGTGGTAGTTTAGTGGTAAGGGAGAGAGATCAGTTTCTTCGACCCTGGGTGGCGATTTTCTTTGTTTTTAATAGAAACGTTTTCTCGGAAAAACAGGTCAAAAATTTTCTAAGTGTCTTAAAAATGGCAGCGACCGTTTACGAAAGGACAACTGCCTATTTACCTAGGTTAAAAATTGGACACTCTTAACTAATAAAAAAATTAAGAAGCTTGCATGAAAAAGTCCTCAAATTACTAAAACATCGAGGTTATTTGCCGATGGTTCGGCTGGGTTTGCATACGGAAGAGACTAATAAGTGCAGTGTACGGTGTACAGTGTATAGTATACGACATTGAAAAGCTTTTTCATCGAAATTATTTGCTAAAGTAATTAATTTCTGCATTAAATCGAATTTTGCATATTAGGTCCTTGATCCTTGAAGCCGGACTATCAACATTCATTTTCTTGGAAGTGATCTGAATCTGACAATTGTTATAATGTTTAAAAATAGCCAGTAAAAGAGAGAGTTAATTAAGTTACTTCTTACTTTTTAAAAAAAATCCATGTTGAATGATCGTTTCTATTATTCTCACTTTCTTCATGGTTAGTTAAGCAGTTAGTTTCTTAGGATAAAATTTTCAGACGCTGGTAGTCAGACACTCATTCACTTGCCAAAAACAATCCAGGCATGTAATTAAATAACCTTTGCTCTGCCTCATAAAATCAGCCAAATAATATTTCTTCTCGATGCACTTCGGATAACATATAATAATAAAAATATACTAGTTTATCTAATGTAATATACGTCTTCATTTCCAACAGCTCAAAACCTTCATTTGCCTTTCATACGCCAACTTCTTTGCAAATTCCTTTCTAGAATAAGATGTATTACTAACATGTTATGATACTGAATATTTCATAAAGATTTTTGTTTAGCACCCATATTGGCACAAATGTAAGCATGTTGTTTTGACTATGTTCAAACTCATATCGAAATCAATGTGGGAGACTTTTAATTCTTTCCTGCGTTTCGTACATAACTCAACGTTTTTCTATGGTTCTTCTCAAACATTTTATTTGTAGGTCTAACAAGGTAAACAAAAAAAGCGAATTTTATAATCGCTAATATACAGGGTAAAGTTTTTTCCCCTCGCCCTTCCTCAGGAGCTGGGCGTTCACAGGTCGCCAGTTGCGCCATATCCCATAATATTTCAGTCAATTTGTGTAGCGTGTAAAGTATACCGGTAAAAAATACTTGTACCTATTAATAGCTAGCCTCCCACGCAGGCGTTTCTAGGGGAGCTCGTACGAGCTCCCCTAAAAACACCTGCGTGGGAGGCTAATTAATAGCATGACTCGTCCATATATTAAACAGTTTAATTGACATTTACTCTTGACTCCATGACACATTCGTACTCAGTTTCTTCTCTCAGTTTTATTTGTATGTCTCTCATTAGAAAGGTCTCTGGCATAACTATTATTTTTTCCTTTACTTATAATAATGAATATATTATCAAACATTCTCCATGACTTTAATTCCGTTTATCTTACATTCAGGTATCGGTTTTCTAAGTTCATCAGTAGTTTATTTCCTTGATATTATTAAATAATCATTTCCTAAACTTCAAAAGCTAATAAGAACATTTCTACGGAGCAGCTTAGCTCCTCTCTAATAAGGTTATCTACTCTACTTTCCAATTTTTTCCCCTCTCATCTTCATGAAATATTTACAATTTTAAGTTTTGAAACTTGAACGCATGCTTAATCTCGACAGAGCAAAAAACTAATTTTTCTGTCTGCGTAACTTCTATTTCATTGGTATGGACCTTTTAGTCGATGAAGAGCTTATTCTTCTTTATTTTTTTATCTTCTCTTATCATCTGTATGGCTTTGATCTTCCTAGTTTCAGTTTTAAGTCTATAACGTATGCTTTGTCTCTTCAGCGGGACATCATTCCTGCATGAGAATTAATTGAGGACTTTTCAGGTCCATAACAACTTTATATTCTTCATATTAACATCTCTAAACAGTGCCTAACTTGTAATATTTCTTCTGTAACTGTGCCACTCAGGCGGGAAGAAGAGCAGACGACAAGGGCGAGGAGGCAGGCGTTTTGGTACTTTTCCTTTCATCTATTCTTGTTCTTTTATTTTTTCCTTCTTCCTTCTTTTTTCTTGCACGCTATAGTTTTTTCCTGTCAATTTCTGGCTCGCGGACGTCCTCTTATAAATTGTTAGTACTTTCTGCACATAGAAAATTTGTTTCTTCTCGCACGAGAAATAAACACATTTCTGTTACTTACAACTGCACCTGCATAGTTGGCCACAAGTTCCCGATAAATTTATTGAATAGTGCCACTAATTCACTTTCAGGTTCTTGGTTGTTGCACTTGGTATGGCAATGTGATAGTTTCCGGGTGGTGTGCAATTTGCAAAGGCGTCATAGTTTTGTTCTCGTTTTTGAGCACTTTTTTTGGTTTGCCTTAGAACACCTTGCAACCTTTGTCAACAATGTTAAGTGTTTTTCGGTTCCCAGTTGAAATCACTTTCAGTTCTCTACTATTTCTCATTAGTAGCACTGCCCAAGAAAAATATGGACTAGTTACGGCATAAGATGGACGAGATTTAACAAGATCATATCCTTTGCTTTCAGATCGGCGAGGGTGACAAGTTGATCAACGTTGTCTTGTTAAATGGAGAAAGACTAAATGTTCGAGTTCAGGTAACAGTTACCATTTATTTGACATCCAATAGTAATGCATGTTTATTAAGGACAAATTGATTGATGATATCCAAAATCGGTCATGTGGGAGATGCCTGATTTGTTACATGACAAAGCATAATATTCAAGTTTTGGACAATAGTGTAAGTTAAAATGAGGCACGTTTGCTTTTATTTATTCATTTACGTATATTTATTTTATTATGAGGAAGGGTAAAAGGCGAGAAGCTCTTTTTTACGAGAAAGCAAGCTATCAAACTGTTATAGATTCTTCTCAAATTGTGGCAATGAGTATAGATATTTGCGCCTTATAAGTTTTTGAATTTGAAATTTTTGAAATGAGTAGAAAAAGAGAAACGAAAAGAAAGATGAGTCTCCACGGACTGTTTTGATTATTTTGGTTTTTGTTTTTTTTTTAACGGGGGAAGAAGTTGTCTGATAAGTAGGCATGTTTTCTTGCAGGCTTCTGCCACTGGTCAAGACTTGTACAATGTCATCACGGAACATCTTGGTCTTACAGAAACCATATTCTTTGGACTTATGATCATAAAAGGTGATTAAAACCAATTGTGCGCTTGAGAAGTACCAAGAGACTTGCCATAGCTCAGTTTAAAATTCCGCACAACGAACTGAAGAGATACTGAGACCGTACTATTTGAATCCCTGTTCGAATGCTTGAACTTAAATTCTTTAACCGACAAAGTTACCCCAGAAAGGACATTATTTTTCTGATCACATGTTTGGTTATTAAACGTTGTCCGAGCTTTCAAAGTTCATCTTCTATTCCAAAGATTGTAAAAACACAGTATCGATCGTTGACCGCCATGATTATTTTAGATCGTGCAAAGCACCTTAGCCTCCTAAACGTGACGTCACTCCTTCAATATGAAAATAGGGAGTTTAGGCAAGGACCGGAAGTAATTTTTCTCCAGCCACCCTTCAATTCCTCAAGTGGAGAGTTTAAGATACTCTGACAGCTACAGCGGTGAAAACGTCGCATGAAAAGACGTAAGGCTCTCGTTACTGTTCATCACGTCTCTAGTGACTACTGCCAGTCACACTTACTTCTCATTCATGGCAAAATGTTGGCGTGGGGGAAGGGTAGGTGGACAGTTTTACCGAAACCTAAACTGATCCAAAGCTTCTCGGAGTTGTAGGCTTGAAAATTGTAACATTTTTACTGCTTTGTGACAGATGGAGAGCACGAGTTCTTGGACTTCAACGAAAAACTATCAAAGCTTGCAAAGTTTGCTCCACATCTCTGGAAAGACGACGTAAGTATTTCCTGATTTATTCTGTTTTTAACCCTACAACAAAGTTGCGCCACAGCGCATAATATTTAGTTAGGTAGGTAAGCTTTTTAAGAACCTAGAAATATTTTGAATGGATAATGAGCAGTTATTCAATTCTTATGCAGAGTACCTTCAACTGATAACATTTCTTGTACTCAGTTATTGATTGTCTTTTTTTCTGTACAGGTTTCGTGCAATTCATCGCTGGTTTTTACGATCTTCTTCCGTGTGAAGTATTACGTGGAGAACATTTGTCTTTTACAGTAAGTTTCCAAGAATAAAAGGTTTTCACTTTCATTAATAAAAGTTTTTTTTTGTTTGAATGATTATTTCATCTTAAAGTAGTTAATATGTTGCGTTTTTTGCGTTAGACAACAGGGTACTCGGCACTTGTACTACCTTCAGTTACGAAAGGATGTCTTGGAAGGAGGGATTTATGTCCACGAGGAAACAGCGATGCTTTTAGCTTCCTACGCTCTGCAAGCGGAAGTAGGAGATTACAATCAGACTCTGCACGGATCCGACTACTTCGTTCCTGAGCACTACCTTCCCCAGAGAGTAAGCAAGCTTATAGTACAGTGAAATAGAGTTACAAAAGCCGAACATAACGTATTAATTCGAACAAGCGCCCACCCACCTTCTCCCCCTCCCATTCATACTCAAATAAGAGCCCACGCACCCTCCCTTCCTCCTGAGGAGAACCTGCAATATTATGAGGCGATCGGAATTTTTCTGTGTTATAGTTTTTGCATGTACGAGGAAAACGGGGAAAGTGGTAGGATCTCTTGTTATTTGTAAAGGTCGGCATTATCAAGAAATGTTGTTCCACGAATCCGCGTGCGCGTCTGTTCTCGTAGATTATAGAGGGCTATTTAGAGGGCGTTGTCCACGAATCACCGGTTTCAACTGATCAGACTTTTCAAAGAGAGTTTTCAACACACTTTCAACCAAACTGGTATTTTCGTATTTTCGACACATTAAGAAATGTTAGAGGAAAGCAGCAATTGAATGACAGATATCTTTTTTGGGAAGAGAAAAAATTAATTACTAATGCGTGGCTCAAACGTATCTGTAAACGATTACCATTGACAATCGACACTCACAACTCTTTAGATCTTTTTAAAAGTTTCGTCACTCATGAATTTCCGATGTCAATCGATTTAGTTATTACTATGGATTAATTAATTTCATCGATGGCGCTGCACGCTGGGAACCACGACCACGACGGAAACGAGAAAATAAATAAAGAGCAACATGTTTTGTAAGCAAAACGAAAACTTTGAACGTGCAGCACACTCAGTTTATGGCAGATTTCTTTACACACGTTGTCAATCTCTAAGATCGTCTTTCATCAATAGCGATCGCCGAGACTTCGATTTCCTTGGAAATACCCATTGTAAGGGACTTCTCAGTTATAGCAAACTATTTACTATTTTCGATCCGACGAATTTCCTTCTCAGATCACGAAAGCACGTGGACTTAGTCCGCTTTCCGGCAATTCTTCTAAGAATCCTTACCCATCCTTTACATATAAATGTTGTAAGACAGAGGAGCTCTTAAGGGTTTGTCCACCTTTAAAACGTACTAATACGGAGCGCTGATGTCTCGATACTCGCTTGTCTCATTTTCAAGGCAATCGCCAAACTGACAGCATCTTCCATCAAGAAACAACTTCCATCAATGCATAAGACTCATACGGGTCTCAGTGATGCTCAGGCTGAGATAGAGTATTTGAAGGTTAGTATGCCTTATTTCAGCGAAGGAAAAGTGGGTAAACATTTGGCAATTTAGTTTACTTAGCATGCAAAAAGAGCCGCATTCCTTTGCTCCACGCTGGACCTTTATCAGTCGAGATCTAAACCAAGAGTGGCACTCGAGTAGTTTGCAAAGGAGGCCCGGACGCTCTGTTCTCTTTATCAGCTTTATAGGTTACTGATACTATTACAAAATATATATGTAAAAAACTGATTTACCTCTGCGTCTTTGTCTGTGTTTTGCCGTTTTGGAAGGGATTTGCATTAAAGCGAAGGCGGTTTCTCCGTTGGATTTCAAAACATAATCGCTTCAGACGCGTGAGAACCTGGAGACGATATTTTTAAACGTCTCAATTTCCAACCTATTATCCTCTTCGTGAGATTTTTAAGCATTAACTATTAACATAGTTAATACTTGACGATTCTGAAGAGTCTGAAGCGACGGTGTTTTGAAGATACCCTGTCCACAGACGTTTTTCCTAGTTTATTTTCTGTGTTTTTCGTGACGTATTTTGACAATCTTTAAAGAGAAGATAAAGGGCCTGTGAACAGGTTAACGGAGAAAGCGTCTTTGCGTTGATGCAAATGCCAAAACGACCAAAGTCACGAGATAGACGCACAAGTAAATCGTTTCTGTTTTATTATCAGAAACCTTCAAAAGTTTTTGATAGTTTAGATAAGGGTTTCCCGTATATTTTGATTTAGTATAATGCGGATAAACAGGAGTCAAGATTGATTCTGGGGAATTAAGGATCCGTAATGTGGACTAAGCCGTCCGTACTTTATTTTTTGTCCCTCAAAAAATATTGTTACTACCGACCACGGTATCTGTCACTTTGATTTTCAGGAATTTTTTGGATAACCTATCTGAAGTATTCGAATACTGGCCTTTTGAAAACTGTAAAATACCAAGACATGGTTCTTTAAATATTCCGGGGTTGGTGGAGAGGGTGGGGGGCTATAATGGCCTATACGGGGAAGCTCTGCCAGAATAGAGTACCTTTGTCAGGCTTCAGATGTATGAAAGGGTAGGGTTTTCACTAGTTGAGGTATATAAAAGGGTAGGGAAATCTGTCGTTTCAGTCTGTAAACAAGACCAGTTGGGCTAATAGATATGAAAGGGGGTACCTCTTCTGCCAAAAATGTTTTATTAAAGGTTAAGGGGATTGGACCTTTGGGCGAAGCCTCCCCGCATAAAACGTTGGTGAGTACCACCCGGGGGCTAAATATGTGGGGAAAGGAGAAACTGCTATTCCCGTCTGTTTTCTTGTTGAGGCCAAAGAGGAATGCAGCAGAATTTCCCGTTGTCTGTAATGTTTTGTTTCGCGATCTTCAGAAATTCTAGAGCGGAAACACAGTTCGCTTTATTAGCCGCCTGATGTTCGGTTAAACGTCCTTTCATTGTGAACAAAGTTTAATCAAGCAAACTTTCCTTGCGCTTAACCATATTTAGGAAGCACAGAAACTACAGGAATATGGGATTATCTTCAACAAGGTGTCCAAGGTAACAGAAAGATTTTTTTTAATACTCACTTAAATTAAAAACTAGCTTAATAGGAGCTTTTTTAGGAAATACAACAAATATCACAATACAATGATATGTTGATGAAAACATTCACTGTTTCATAAGTGTACCAGGATCAGTTTTCTATAAGGATATGAGGATGATTTTCAATTGCAAATAGACCCGAAATAAATTTCGTGACTATAACTGGATTCGAACCCATGGCCTTGCGTTAGCCCCTGCAGTGCTCTGCCCTTTGAGTTATGAAGACCCATACATTGGGAGAAGGCCAGTTTGTTGAGTTCATCTTAACCCGTGAAAGGAGTGAAACATGAAGATGATGTGAACTGCGGAAACCAAAAAAAATTCTGTTGAGGAAAAACTTTCAAGAATGCTAATTTAATTTTATCAATGCCGTTACAATTGTGTACTTCACCGTTACCCCCAATATGTGTTAGCAGACCTGGTGAAGTAGGGCTAATTTGAACGATAAAAGCATTATTATACATCCAATTACTTCGTGGCTTTCTTTAAACTCAAAACGGTATTCGATTGACGCACAAAACTGTGTTATGTTTTGCAGTACAAAAAGGACAAGAGAGGAGGTTTTAGTTTAGGAATAAGTGTACGAGGTCTTATTGTCTACGAGGTAGGTTTATCGTATTTTTCGTTTTCTAATTCCTAATAAAGGATTAAAAAAATTATAAACAAGCAATTTCCACCCCTCCCCCTACCACCATCCCCCAAAATTTACTAATTCAGACTTAGTGTGACAGGTGTGTGAAAGTCAAACCCTTGGAAACACTCAGGATCAAAAATAACAAACCTCTTTCCTTTAGCCTGTGTAGCAGTCGTTCCAGTTTCCTTTGTATATTGAGCCAAGCGGGAAAAACGAGACGTGCTTGCCCACTTGGTAAAGGAAAGGGAGACGACTGCTACGCAGGCTTCAATTTCTAGTCGTCAAAATCGCCACTTTCAAAGGGCCTCTTTGCCATTTCAATCGACTTGTAGGTAAGGCCTTACGGATTTTTCGCCCAAATCGCTACTTTCAAAGAGGACCCTTTACCTCTTTATTTGACTTGTAGGTAAGGCTTTGAGGATTTTTCGCCAAAATCAGAAGTCAAAATCAGGCGCCACTTTCAAAGGGCCTCTTTGCCATATCGTTTAAAGTTTAGTTAAGGCTTTGGCGACTGTTTGCCAGATTCGTCGCCATGTTCGCCATTTTCGCCACTCTCAACGGGAACCCTTTGCTTTTCATCGCCAAACTTTGGCAAATTTTCACTACCTTTTTCATTGCGTGTTTTTCTGAACATAAGTGAACAATTATAGGTTTAGCAGTCTATGTAACTTGGATAATCCCTCGTATTGTTTCCCAGACTCATGAGGCATGTATTGTTGATAACCAGTGTGTTTTTCCTCGTCATATTTACTGATAACACAATCCTGTCTTTGTTTAAGGAAAGAGGGATCGTTAAGAGCCCAACATTTCGTCATCCGTGGCAGAACATCAAAAGAATGGCTTTCCACGTTAGTACATTTATTTATATTTTTGAACCTGAATACCAATAGTTTAGTAATCACTTAACGTATCTACGTTGCCTAAAGGTTGTTTTTGTTATTTTAGTTTTCGTCGATAGTTGTCTAATAAGGTTTTTCCTCATTCGGACATATGTTTGAAGTTCAAGCTTTAACTGCGCCCTGCAATGTACTGACCACCCGCTCGGAGACTGGGTCTGGTGATTTCACTTCCGGCATTGCCGAAACGAAGCTCGCGCGTTTGATTGGCGAGTTTGCTGTTTCAACAGACCTTTATTCACGATGCCCGCTATCTTTGCACGCGCTTAAGGACCGATGGGACAAAAGCAACGTCAGGGGGTAAACAAGTGGGAAAATCTACCGATAAACCAGAAATTGTGCTCGAGTTCTTTTATTCTAGACAACAGAAAATGAAGAACTTTTTATCTTAAAGACGATGATGGCAAGTTATGGGTGAAAGTGATTAACCTAAACAAACTAACTCGTTGACTAACCCAACTAACTCGTCGCCTTCTTTTGATACAAGACCGCGATTACACATACTGGCAAATTTTATCGCTTGTTGTGCCCTCCCCCCCCGAAATACCACGTGACGTTGCTTTTATCCCTTTAAGTGTGCCGGATCCGGACCTTGAGATAAGGGGGAAAGGAGGGGGCGGGGGGCGGCGTTCTCCCAGACCCTGGGATAACAGGGGAACCCGGTCTCCAAAAAATTAATTTCGGTCCCCCGTTTGGTCTAAAAATAAGGGGGGGGGGGCGGGCCCCCCAGGCCTCTCCCCTGGATCCGCCACAGGTATCGTGAATAAGGTCTGCTATGTTGTGATCAATGATTAAATCAATCTAATGTTACTTTTACAGTCAATAATAAATCCCCTTCCATAAAAATTGTGTTTATACTTTTCACCATTTCGTCCTCGAAACAGGTCTATTGTTATGGGCAATTTCTTGTGACGAAGTTAATTCTCGTTCTTTTCCTTAGCGGAGACGTTTTTATATCGAAGCGCACGGGGATCCCGAGACGTCCAAGATGGTCCTGTACACATGCAGCTACAAGAAGTAAGTCTATGAGAATTCAGCAAAACGTTTTGATACCGGGAGCGCTGTTGTACCTAATTCTGCTTGCAGTCGTTTGTACTGTTAACAGGGTAGTTATCAATGTAGTTTGAGTTTTGGCTTCAACTTTTTTCTTGCCAGGAGTACATTAATTTTCGTTGAAAATGGATTAGTACTACAGGGTTCAGTTGCATAAAAGCAAACGTGCAACAACGTAAAAAGCAAATTTCTGCAAGACACCGCAAAGTTTGTCTAACGTTTGCTTTGAAGAAAAAAAATAATAAAAAAGCGCACCCAATGGCAACTTGGGTGAATAGGACTGGCAATTATTTTCACCAGAACAATAACACTCCATTAGCTTTACTGCGTCAGCCTGTTGCTCAGCTTACTAAGTTTCTTTGTTATACATTCTTGGTCGTTTTTGATAGGTCGAGATATTTGCTTAAAATGTGTACGTCGTTCTACAAGTTCCAAATGATGATGGGAATGAAGTTGACCAGTCTAAAGGAATATCCCAGAGATGGAGGTAAACCTGATACCTTGATCAGTCTGCAGTTACCACAATTTTATATTGACGATCATGACATACTATCTCTTCTTTCTTGATGATTTGGATCGGTTATAGTTACATTTTCTCCATGCTTATTGAGCCAATATTATTGAGTAGCTTAGAAAAACAAAATAATAAACTGAGATTCGACGTTGAGTTTCTCAAGGCCTCTTGCACTTGATAAAATTACGGTACACGTTGAGGTTGTCCACGCAACACCATGAGATCCTGTGCGCGGTGTTGGGATTATGTCACGTGCTTAAAATGGCCACTATATAGGATCCATCCACCATGCTGGATTCCCGTCATAACGGAAAACTAACTAAAAGCTATAAAAAATATTTGAGCAAAATAAATATGAATATTCTAAAACCATCTTAAACATCTGCCTTTAGAAAGTTACTTTTGCAACATCAGTTTAAAAGTCAACATTTAGGCCAGCGTAACTTGCTTGTCAACAATAGTTTGCTGTGGAAATTAATATGATTTCAACCAAACACTTTCAAATTTCAAATTCCAACGCTTACGGATAAAATGTTTTACTAGTGGATATTGGTCAAAGAGTTTACAAAGTTTCAAACTCAGCTATGTGGTCACACCTCGCACCCCTGGTCTGATAGCAGGGAGCTTAAGCAACAACGCCGGTGACGGCCACGAAAACGTCACTCACACTGAGTGAATTCGCGCTTCTTCGAACTTACGCCATCTCGGTCAGTTGGTCAAATGTAGACAGATTTTTCTGGAGTTGAATTCTGAAAGACTGTATTGAAGTTCAGGAAAAGAAAAGTAGTGTGTTAATGTCTTGTGTTCACGTCCTCAAGAAAAACGTGCACGTCGTAGTCGTGCGGTGAAATGTAAAAAAAGGCGTGATGCACGTACAAAGTTGTTGTTTTTCCAATCTAAACCTATTGCCTTTTTGATGTTCTCGTTGCCGTCGCCATCGTCATTGCTGAAGCTCCCTAGTGTTAAAAGAATTGTGCTCGCGTCTTGAACGCTAAATTTCGCTCCTCAACTTCACAGCTGTTAGGATGAACGGTGTTGTCAAGACAGACGAAACGGACTCTGTTGCAAGCATGCCAGTTTCGACAGCAGACAAACCTGGGCACGAGTCAGCGGTCATACAGCCGCAAGGAATTGGTCCTGCGATACATCTCAATGGCTCTTCTGTCCCAGTGCCAGAGGATCAACCGGTCCAGGTCGGTTCTTTTACGGATAACTTCGTGAATCATTCAATATTTGCATTGGAAAGTTTTGTTATTTCTCTGGTCTGGATCGTTTCACAAACGTTTGGTTTAACAATGCTAACCAAATCGAGTATATCTCAATATCATAAAATATAGCGATTACACCTTTTGCCCTTCATTACCAGGAAATACTGATATTTAAATTTGCGTCAAAATATCAGCCGATAAAATGAATGTGTAATCATTGCAGAATAATGAACTAATATCTTAATTTTCGTGTGGTTAAAAAAGATTTTACTTAGAGAAGGACATTCAATAATGCCAATAAATTCCGACTTAACTATAGAAATGATGATCATTCGAGACAGTAAAGAAACATTTCCATCTAAATGTCCGTTAACGCTAATACATCATCATTATCAACAGTGATTATTAGTGTTCCATGTGGTTGCTTTTCGAGTTTTGAGTTGCGTGAACCCAAACAACTCTGGATGTTACTGCGTTCGTTATTTCTATTCATCTTCCTGCTCCCTGATTTTACACTAGATCTATTGACTGAAAATTGTGCGCATCACTTGTTTATTTTTGCAAGCACGGTAGCAAATTTCATCGAAATGATTGCCACTTACGCGTCACTTCTGCAATACGAGTTTTACGGATATTCTAAAATTCGGTCACGAATTTAAGCGTTTCTCCAAATTCAACGCAATATTGGCAAGATAATGTTCGTCACAATAATAGTTGTTATTGATATTCTATTCTCATAAACGAACATTCACCAAAGGAAAATGAAACTTCATTCGCACTTAAGAATGTTGTCTTCGATAAAACGCTATAGAAATTGGCCTTAATAATTGTTCTTCTTGATGCAAAAAAATTAAGGACTATGCCACAAAACTAAATGTTTGCTTCCTTGGCTACACTGTTTAGGCATAAATTAAAATGAATAATATTTTCTTGTTAGAAAAAAATTATTTCCCGGTAATAAAGGGCAAAAGGTGTAGTTTCCACCTCCACCCCTCGCCCCCCCCCCAAAGCCAAAAGAAGAAAAAAATTGCGTTGACACTGGGGAGAGTGAAGCATGCGCGCAACACTGATACTGTCTGCTTATTTTATAAGGGGAAATTGGCTGCATTGAACAAATTTAAAAGCTAAAACTTTACATTCGTAATTCATAATTATTTCTATTGGCCAATTATTCTCAAGTTTATATAATTTCTTATTTTCTAGATTTTCTAGTCAATAAAACTCTTGCAATTTCCATCCTATCTAAATCAGGTCAGTGTTCATCCCGTTCAGCTACAGAAAGTCGAGGGAAGTCTGGGCCTTAATATAATAGTGAGTACACAGCATCTGGTAAAATAATATGAAGTCCTAAATGTTTTCCCAGTAAATAAATGAGTATAAAATATATTAAAAAGCATTAATTTTGTAAAGGTCTGCGTGTTAAGGCTACTTTGAAAGTCAACATACTTACTATATGGTCGAGTTTAGTTTCATTGAACCTTTTTTGCCCCCTTCTCATTACGACCACTGGGATTCATATGTTTACATCAACGTTCAATCTGCAGGGTGGCATAGAGCTGGGAGGAATTTACGTGAAGACGATGGCCCCAGAAGGACCAGCAGCTCTCAGCGGAAAAATCAATATAGGTGCGTTAAGAAATCAATATTTATTCTTCTTCTAATTATTATTATTGCTAAAATTATTATTATTATTTTTATTTAGAAATGGTCTAATCAACCTTGTCCCCAGAGGTTTTCCTTTATTCAATAGGAGAGCCCCATCCATTTTAAAAGGGTTCTCTAAAAGTCTTGGGAGCGAGGTTGAAATGCTACCTTGCCAATCGACGACTATGCGGTACCTTTACAACGCTTAAAACGAGATAGCACACCAAGCCCCTTGCGGAGCTCTTACAGATGATCTGGGTGATCAACCGTTCTGACACCTAGATGATTAAGCTAGATGGATTATTAAGTTGTGAGGACACTTCCTTTGCCTCGTCCATTTTTCTGACAGTTCTTGTTTGATGAGAGACGAGCCTGCAAATTCTGAGGGAGTTGAGTCTTAAGCCAAAAATTATGCAGCCTGATTTTTTGTTATTTACTTTAGTCTTACTTGTATTTTATTATTTATTCCATATCGAAGCTGACTTTTGGTGAATTTCGTCCTAGGTGATAGAATTTTGGAAATCAACGGTCACAGTCTCGAAGGATTATCAAGACAAGAGGTAAAATACTTTGAAAATCCACAGGTTGATGTAGAAGCTTACAATTCTCTATTTAAATACACTTGTCAGGGGGTGGATACAGGTTTTTTTTAACGGGGGTGCACCATTGAGGAAGAGCAAAACTGACTGGTGACGTAAACAAATTTTAAAAGCGATTTCGACGAAGGCTTTTGACTTGGCAATAACATAATGTGAACTGAATGTAAACTGCTGAGAATACAAATATATCATACATATCTGCATATTTTGCGGAATACCAGTTGTATTAGAGAGCCGAAGGTCATCTGGGGGGGGGCAACCCCTGCACCCTCCCCCTAGATCCGCCCTGCTTTTGCAACTGATGCCTTGTAGGGGAAGTTGTTTGAAATTTAGGCCCCGTCCACAAGAATACACGCAGGATTTCACAAATCGCAAGTCTGTCGCATCAAAAAAAAAAAAAAAGGAAAAGTAAACAAACAAAAACTCTGGAGAGCGGATAAAAAAAAAGCGGTCTCGGTGAGTGGGTGGAGTGGCTGGTTTTGTGTGGACAGAGGACTGATTCATGTCAGAAAATATGAGGTTTCAAAAAAATCTGGGTTAGTGTGGACGGCACATTGCGGGCCGGAATGTTGTTGGTAAACCTGTCAGTTGTGGATGGTTATATTTACCAATTACGAGATGTACGGTTATAGTTGTTCATTGGTTGTCTTTGCCACAATCCTTTATTTCTTGTCAAAGACATGTTTGATAATGGTTGTTCACTAGTTTTCTTTGCCACATTCCTTTACCTCTGTAGGCGGTTAACATTCTGCGGACAGCTCCTTACGTTTGCACTTTGTTGATCGAAAGCTGTGTCGCCGCTCCAGCCACGCCGAACGGAAAGCCGGCAATGCCAGGAACCCAGGCTGCGTCAGCCTTTTATCAGCCGAATAGACAGCAGCAGATGCAGAGTATGATGCAACGACAACCCTCTGTAGAGTCGCAGTACTCCTCAATGCAGCAGCAGTTCGTTCCAAGTCAAAGTCAGCAGATTGAAGACATAGTTACCGTGAGTAACAGTACGACTAGCTTAGACCAAACAAAACGACTTAATGATGAGGGAACGGTAGTTCAACCCTTCAGGGGGAATACTGCTTTTGTTTCTGCTCAGATCAGGGCAAGGGCAATGAAAAAGAAATTACCAATGGGAGACAAAGCTTCCCTCGAGGCTGCAGCTGTGACTGACAGCAGGGAAGACCGTTGGGATGATTTGCCAAGGGAGGGAGAAACACGTAAGGGAGAGGAAGCCAACGTGATTATTGTGGAACAGAGCAGCCCCACGTGGCTAGCAAACCAGAGGAAAAGTAGTGTAGAGGAACCCTTGATAGATGAAAATTCACAATTACTGAGTACACCTGAACAAAAAGGCGTGGCAGTTAATGATGATTCAAATGTGGCTGGCTTTTTCAGAAAGATTCAATCGTTTCTATTTTCTCCCAGCCCGCCAAAAGTAAAAAATTCTGAAGAGTCAGAATCTTCTTGCTGTGAAAGCGACTTTGATTCCGAGTTTAGTGAAATGACTTCGGAGTCTTTTAATGTGGGGGAGATCGAAGCCATAAGAGATGAACTTGAAACTTTGTTGTTAAGCGGCCCCCAAGCTCCAGAATTATTCATTCGCGACAAGTCTTTCAGTGAAAAGCCCCCGAGGTCTGCGGAAGTAATGACTCCGCAGGAACCATTCCAGGAGTCCCCACCCTTAGTACAAGAGGCTCTAACTTTAAGCGTGCCAGAAGCAAAGGAAGTGACACATAAAAATAACGGGGTAGAGGAGAATGAGGAAAGTTCCATCGAATTAATTGAAACTGGGGACAATACGCCATTTTTGGCTGAAGGAGGAACTGAAATTCACGTTGATGAAGGGAAAGATCAAGTAGTAAATACTAGCGAGGACAATAAAGATGGTATTAGAGATGCTGATGAAAAAAGGTCCCTAATCTATAGAGCAACTAGCTTCTTTAAGATCAAGAAGGAAACTACTGTTTAGAAACTGACTTAACAGTCAATAAGTATGGCTGTAGTCTCTGCCATCAGATTTGAACTCAGTGTAGTGCTAGAGGAGATTGTTGGGTAGAAACCCAACCATTTTAGATCAGTCAGTTGTTAATAACTAAATATAAATTGTACACGATCAGGCATGAACTCAGGAGAGAGATAAGGGGATAAAAAGCTTAAAATTTAGCGAGCAAAGGATCAGAAATGTAATAGACATATCGGAGCGGATGACATGCTTTCTTTACCTTCACGTTATGATACCTATTTATACCTCTGGTATGCTTGTGTATTGTACGTTGTATTTGCTTGTGACTGAGATACTCAAGGAAGTCAAAAGTCATCAGTGGTTAGGTTTTACCTTTCCGAACTTTGAAGAGTAATACGCAGTACTAAAAGATTTAAAAAGGTCATCAACTTTGGCCGTTTGGGTTCGTTATATATAGACATGATACTCAGAATGCTGATTATAACACATCAATTAAATTTGTCGAGTACTAAATAACTTAAAATAATTGGAGTCCAGTAGTTGGAGTTCCTTTAAAGGATTTCCTTGTTTTTAATGGACAGTGTACTTCAAAGCTGGGGTCAATTTAATAAAGCTTTTACAAGTGTAATTTACAAGTGTAGCTTTTTTTTAGGGTACAAAACAATAGCCACAAGTGAAAATTACATTTGTAGAAGTTTTATTGAATTGGCCCCATTTGCGGAATAAATGAAGTAATTCCAGTACATTGTATCGTATCAGCTATGCTTCAAAACGAAGAATTGCTAATGTTATTTGTGCAACAATATGGAGTGTGACGGTAGAAAAAAGTCAGTCCTTTGGGTAGACAGCTGAATTGAGTAGTTTCTAGATTCTGACTATTAAATAAATGCAAAAATATTGAGAAATTTAGAAATTAGGCTATTACCTAAGCATATCTTGAAATAGTAAAATAAACTTCGTGTACCACTAAAACGAACTCCTGTTTTGCATTATATTTCGTGTAAATTAACATTAACTTGTCAGATTTGTATTTGGATTTCGACTAGCCCGACTCCATTACAGTAACTTCAATGAACACAGAGGCAATCAATAGTAATGGCTGCGGACATTTGTGAAAGTCCGAACCATTCATTGACATTTCATTAAGCCAGCACGTTTGACCTCTAACAAAACAGTTTAAACTTCCCCTCTCGTCTGCTAGCAAATTAGCTTCCAAAGACTTTGTCAGGCTCTGCCAAAATTGGATGACGTTATCACATGCGTTATATTCTAAGGCGATATTGTTAGTTTATCTAGCGTCAATTATTTTTAACCCACTTTGACGCATTTCTTTAGCAGGTGCGAGGAGATTACTGAAATGTCTCAACAGTAAATTGTAAATAAGAGTCAGTGACGCAAGCCCTGTATTTATCAATTTTGTCTTTATTTGTTGCAAACACACAAAGACACAATAAACCAAACATTAAGAAATACTTATGTAAATTAAAATAAATAAGCAAAAAAATAAACAAAATATACATTCTGTGTTGAAAATAAGGGAGGGTTGAAGTTTCTTACAAACGGCGTGAAATTTCGGTTGACTGCAAAATATCAATCCGTAAATTACTTCATTACTCGCGGTCATACTTTTTGTCCAACTTTGTGAAACTAGACTAATGTGAATATTTTTTTCAGGAGTACATTCCTATTGAAATTCCTAAACTCAACGGAAGTTTTGGCCTTAATGTAACGGTAAGATTGAATTGAAATTCTGGAGATATGTTAGTAGGCTCTCATATTTCACTATCGTTATGCAAAAAAACTCATTCTTTTTTAACTTTTTAACTTGAACTAAGAAATTACTAGGTGTTTCTTATAGCTATGTTACTTTTCAAAGGAGACTTTTTCTCTTGATATTGACTTGATTCAGAAATTAGCATTTTTGAAAGTAAACCTTTCTCCAAAAAAGGAAAGTGCTTCTTGTCTCTACTGACTCAATCCTTGCAAAAATAACAATACAGTGGAACATCGATATAACGAAGTGCTAAGGGACTGGCAAAATTTGTTGGCTATAATGAGCTTTCGTTATATCGAGGTTCTTTTCAATACATTTTACTACTAGTATGGGGTAAAGAGATCTTCGTTCGTTAAAAAGAGGACTTCGTTACATAGAGGTTCGTCATATCGAGGTTCCTCTGTAGAAGAAAAAAAATGTCTGTCACTAATTCACGTTTTCAAAAATGTAGGCGAACAATATGTAATCATGTCAGTTCTCTCCACAAATCTCAGAAAGTAGCTATATTCTAATAATTCAGGAATTAGCAATTCTGAGGTTTTTTCTTTCGGAAGGCGCCACAATCATTTTCATCCGATTCATCGGCCCTAAAAAGAAAACCACAACTAAGTTGTCGAAAAAATCATTAACTATTTGTCCCAGTGAGTCCATTAGTCAATCTAGATAAAGGGCATTAGTGCTGAGACAAACATTGTTTCATACCACGCCTATGAGAAGCCGAGACTAATAATAATCATGATTCTCGCCGAAACTTTCTACAAATCTCATATCTTCAGAGCTCTTGGGAATCTAATGGCAATTTCCTTTTAAACACAGGTGTTATTATACCGCCTCTAAGTTTTGAATAATTTACAAAACGTGTTTTCAACTTAATAAGAACGACGAAAACTTTAAATTAGATTTTCGCAATGCACAACCATTACGTTCGAGAGATTTTTAGCCCACGGAAATTCCCCAGCATTTGTCACTTGAGCATAGTTCTTGCTGTAAGAATTATTAAATTCTTTCTTATATGTGATAACTAAAATGTTCGTAATATTCAAGTTGTGCATTGTTATTTTAGTGAAATATTGTTTTCCAGGAAAGTGTAGTTTGGATATTGATCAGCGGGGTTTCTCGATGAACTCTTTATTTCAATTCTTTTTTTTTTCCTGCACGTCATCAATAATTAATAACTGGCGACATTAAAAACAAAAATAACCTTGATTTTCGGTCCACAACAATGTTGAAGAAAAAAAAACCTGAAAGAGTTGGTATAATAACACGTCCGCGTCCTCCCTAAAAACGCGTCATTCTTAACCATTTAACTGTTTCGATGTTAACGGTTCTTTATTTCTGCACTAGCTTTAACTCGAATCATGGGCCCAATGCAAAACTTTCGTAATATTTTGCTTTATCCAGTCGAATAATTTAGTTAAATAGCTAAGGATGTTTTGATTCTTGTACATGTCTTCCTTATTCTTTCTATAATATGTTATATATGTTTTCTTTTTCATTCTTATTGTATGCTTCTCTTTTTTCAAATTTCAGGGAGGACCTGAACTCGATGGCATTTACGTGAAGTCTCTTCTTCCAGGAGGAGCCGCAGAAGCATCGGGAAAAATACACAATGGTTTGAAACTTTTTTCTACTAATTGATTCAGTGATTGAACAAACACTTACTTTCAAATAGATTGAAAAAGCACTACATTCATTGAAAATGTGGCAGAAAAGTTCGAAAGTAAGCTATAAATTGACTGAAAAGTTTTACCTACCTCTTTCATGATTAACTGTGGGAAAAGACATTTACCATGATTGTTTCACTTCTCAGTGTACCCTTAGGAACTTCTTCTGTTTTCGTAGCCTCAAACAGTTAAGACTTGAACACTAAAAAATTTATTCTCATATTGCTGGTAATTATATTCCTACTCAACGAAGATGATTGGGTGATTTTTCAGCGCGAGGGGAATTTGTTATTTATTTAACCATCACATTTTCAATCAAAGTACCAATCAGGTACAATAGCGTTCTTCAATCATATGCTTGTTGTCTTTGATTGGCCACGACATTTTTGCATAACGTAACAGATGATCTATTGATCTTACGATCGTCTATTCTTCAAGAGAATCGCTGAAAATATTTTGATCTCCCTTTTCGGTTGTGTCCATAAAATGTTGTAGTTATATAAGCAAAGGCGATAATATATGATTACATAGTCCCTTTTCAGGTTTGTCAGACCGTTATCCATTATTGACAAAGATGTTGATTGACTCTGCCAACTGACAATTGAGAAGAGTACCTTAAAGCAACTATTAAAATGACTGACGTTATAATATCTAACGTCAATTATACTTTTAGGGTTAGGAGACATAATGCTTGTATAATGGCTAAAAAATGCATATAACTGATAAGCATTCCAATGGCATTATCGTAGACACATTCCTTTAGTATGCACAATTGGGGCCTTTAGAAAAACAGTTATCAAGTAGAGAGCGGGGTCAGCATCTTTCAGTTTATTACACACTGTAATTTTCAGTACAAAGATAATTGTTTAGAGCTCGAGAGACGATGACATGGTTGGGCATAGTTTGTTGAGAGATATAATTGTGTACGATACAATCGCCCTTTTACGTAAAGAGAAAGGAAATGCCCTCTTGTTCAATGATTTATTGAACATGTCATTATTACTGTTTTACCAGGTGATAGAATAGTGGAAATAAATGGAGTTTCAATGGAGGGCTTAAATCGAAAACAGGTAGGATAAAAATGCCTAGTTTTACGGTAAATCATCTATTAGTAATCACTCAAGTACACTGAAGATGGCAGCGAAGCTTCAGATGAAAAGAACCACCCTGAATATAAATTTTGACAAGAATTGCGATGATGATGACGAGGATGAATATTGCCACGTAATTTTGGGTTGATAACTTTGACTTGTAAATATGTTTTGTAGATTCAAACGCCTTGATATAAATTGGAATCCAAAATGCAATAATTGAGTATGTAAGGCCTGGTTCAGACGCCTTACTTTTCATGTGCTGAACCTAACTGAATAAGTTCGACTTTGGAGCGACAATGGCGCGACATCTGATTCAGACGGCTCACCGTGTGTCGAGTCTAAGTTAACGTTTGCCGCAACAAACGCTTTTGCCAAATTGATTCAGACGCCGCTTTTTTGCCGTACTTAATTCATCAGTTAGGTTTGGCACATGAGTGGAGAAGCGTCTGAACCGGGCCTAACACTAAGTAAATTCACATCAATTTCTACGTGTTGATTAAAATAATGGCGTTGGAAACTAATTATAAAAATACATATAAATAAAAACACGGTTAATTAAATACCTAGTAGGTATCCTGTGTCCATTTGAAATTCACCTGACACCAACCTTCACGTAGCCTGCGCGCAGACGAAATTAAACTCTGGTTAACTCCGTCTGCGAAACAGCGCCGAAATCCTTGTTCTGGACTTCCAGCTGTGTACCCAGATTTGAGTACGCGCCATGATTGGCCAGTTAAAAAAGGCCTTTGTTTTGTTTGTCGTGATCGCCAATCAGGTTGAAGGGGAATTCGAAACGCACTTCCGGTAATTCGTTCAGTCCGTTGGGGATCCAGAACAAGGATCTCTGCGCTGCTACGCAGACGGTACTAATCAGAGTTTAGTTATCGTCTGCACGCAGGCTAACCTTCACGTGACCCTTGAAATAAGTAAGTAAGTAAATAAATAAAAACAAAAATAAATAATTTAAAAAGTTTCAACATTTTGCGTACAGGCCGTTGAGTTGCTCAGACGTTCTGCTGCCACAGCTACACTAGTTATTGAGCGCTATAAGCAGCCAGAACCGGAAGGACCTTATTTGGAAAATGTTGAGGATCTTTTAGCGATATCGGTAAGGTTGCCAATTTTTATACTAGATCTACGGTGTATTACGGGCAACAAAAACCTGCAACTTGTTTTGCAACATTGCTGCAAAACGTGTTGAAAAGAAATGTTGCACTTTTTATCACCCAAGTTCAAACAATAAAGGTTGCTGCAAGTTGTGTGAATACTGACTTCTCATTGGATAAAAATACGCAGGAGTCACGCCATACATGGGAGTGACGTCACTTGCTGCAAAACAAGTTTGCCTTAGCTTGGGCCCGTAAAACACGTAACATGTACAGATTTTGTTGCAAAAAGTAGAACTAATCTCTACTTTCTGCAACGACTTTTCGCAACCTGCAACAACCATACATTTGATTTTATTTTATTGTGTTTTGAAGTAAGAGTACGATAACATGCCCCCGGGTAGCTAAGCTAATCTAGTTGGGTCATGTTTACAGAAAATAAACTAAATACAGCTAAAAGTTGCAAGACAGGTTTTAGTTTGAAGGTGATTGGTAAAACTAGCATCGTCGCATTTCAACTCGTTTTGCAGCAATGTTGCAAAACATTACAAGCCGCAGGCTCGATTTTCGGGGGATTGCGACGTTCAGCGTCGCAATCTTCGCATATTTCTGAAGGGCGAGGCGCCAAGTCTATTGTTTTGAACCAAGGGTTATATTACATCAAGAGACCCTGAGCCTATCTTAAAGCTGTCAACGATGTTCGTTTTATTGAGCAATCTTTCATCTTCGACACTTAATCCAGTTTATCTTAAGTGGACACCCAACCTAGTTGCTATTCAGGTGCACTGTCGAAAGCATAATATCAAATAGACTTCAAAAATACTACATTGGAGCTTCACTCTTCGTCTTTAATTTTAGCCGACCCACTCAATAAACAATAAATAAGAACAATATTACCGAAAAATAATTACAACTGAGAACTTGATGAATAAACAATGAAAACAACAACTCAATTATCTGTCAGGGAGATCACCCGCCAAAGCGGATACCCGCGAGGTTTGTTCGGTTTCAACACAGACGGTGGAAATTTTTACAACCCTAGTATAAATCTGGCCTAATTGTCACATTTGATCGAAGAGAGATATTTACGCAAAAAAAAACTATCACAGTTCACAAATGATTTAGACATTATCTTAATATTTTACCTTAAACTGTCGAAATTAAAGTATTGCCGCCCGCGGACAAAACTAGCTTTTTTCCGGTTTCCGGTGTACATCAAACACAGGCATCACGCTGAATATTATCCAGACTGAGAGCCGTAGATCAGAAAAAAAATCACAATGACTAAATTTTGCTTTTGAAACCAACACCACTCGTCGTAAGATTGGGCGCATCGCATAAGAGCTAAAGACTTAAGAGGGAGAGAAAATAAAAATCTACTGAATTATATACACTAACAAAAACAAAATATGAACAAAAACAACAACTCTGTAACGACTAGCTAAAACACGATCGATTCAAGCTGTGACTTACTTTATACTTTATCACAGCTTCTTAAGAATGGGCGCGCTGCCTGTAAGCCATTAGGAAGAGGAGAGAAAAATCTACCGAATTATACAAACTAAAGCAATGTAAAAAAAGCTGCATTTACTAGCTAAAACACGACCGATTTTAGCTATGTACTATTCACTTTAAGAAAATCTCCCTTCACCTCTTAAACTTGGGCTCGCCGCCTGTAAGCCAAAAGGGAGAGGAGAGAATAATCTACTGATTTACCAAACTAACACAGCGTATAAAAACTGCAATTGGCTAGGTAGTAAAACATGATCGACTCAAACTACGAATGTTTCAATCTAAAAAAATCTCTCTTCACCTCTTAAACTTGGGCGCGCCGCCTGGAAGCCAAGGGGGAGAGGAAAGAGTAACCAAACTAACACAGCGTATGAAAACTGCAATTGGCTAGCTAGTAAAACATGGTCTATTCAGGCTACGAGTTTTTTACCGTTGAAAAAAATCTCTCGTCAACTCTTAAACTTGGGCGCGCCGCCTGTAGGCTAAGAGGGAGAGGAGAGAAAAAATTACTGAAAAAATTACTGAATTATCCAAACTAACAACGCATGAAAACTGCAATTGGCTAGCTAGTAAAACATGACGATTCAATCTACGAGTTTTTTACCTTAAAAAAATCTCTCTTCACCTCTTAAACTTGGGCGTGCCGCCTGTAAGCCAAGAGGGAGAGGAGAGAATAATCCACTGAATTATCCAAACTAACATAGCGCATGAAAACTGCAATTGGCTAGGTAGTAAAACATGATCGATTCAAGCTACGAGTTTTTTTACCCTTGAAAAAAATCTCTCTTCATCTCTTAAACTTGGGCGCGCCGCCTGTAAGCTAAGAGGGAGAGGAGAGAAAAAATTACTGAATTATCCAAACTAACAACGCATGAAAACTGCAATTGGCTAGCTAGCTAAAACATGACGATTCAATCTACGAGTTTTTTACCTTAAAAAATCTCTCTTCACCTCTTAAACTTGGGCGTGCCGCCTGTAAGCCAAGAGGGAGAGGAGAGAATAATCCACTGAATTATCCAAACTAACATAGCGCATGAAAACTGCAATTGGCTAGGTAGTAAAACATGATCGACTCAAGCTACGAGTGTTTCAATTTAAATATTTCTCTCTTCACCTCTTAAACTTGGGCGTGCCGCCTGGAAGCCAAGAGGGAGAGGAGAGAAAAATTTACTGAATTATCCAAACTAACATAGCTCATAAAAACTGCAATTGGCTAGATAGTAAAACATGATCGATTCAAGCTACGAGTTTTTTACCGTTGAAAAAAATCTCTCTTCACCTCTTAAACTTGGGCGTGCCGCCTGTAAGCCAAGAGGGAGAGGAGAGAATAATCCACTGAATTATCCAAACTAACATAGCGCATGAAAACTGCAATTGGCTAGATGGTAAAACATGATCGATTCAAGCTACGAGTTTTTTACCCTTGAAAATAATCTCTCTTCACCTCTTAAACTTGGGCGCGCCGCCTGTAAGCTAAGAGGAGAGGAGAGAAAAAATTACTGAATTATCCAAACTAACAACGCATGAAAACTGCAATTGGCTAGCTAGCTAAAACATGACGATTCAATCTACGAGTTTTTTACCTTAAAAAAACCACTCTTCACCTCTTAAACTTGGGCGTGCCGCCTGTAAGCCAAGAGGGAGAGGAGAGAATAATCCACTGAATTATCCAAACTAACATAGCGCATGAAAACTGCAATTGGCTAGGTAGTAAAACATGATCGACTCAAGCTACGAGTGTTTCAATTTAAATATTTCTCTCTTCACCTCTTAAACTTGGGCGTGCCGCCTGTAAGCTAAGAGGGAGAGGAGAGAAAAATTTACTGAATTATCTAAACTAACACAGCGCATGAAAACTGTAATTGGCTAGCTAGCTAAAACATGACGATTCAATCTACGAGTTTTTCCCCCTTTAAAAATCTCTCTTCACCTCTTAAACTTGGGCGTGCCGCTCGTAAGCTAAGAGGGAGAGGAGAGAAAAATTTACTGAATTATCCAAACTAACATAGCTCATAAAAACTGCATTTGGCTAGATAGTAAAACATGATCGATTCAAGCTACGAGTTTTTTACCCTTGAAAAAAATCTCTCTTCACATCTTAAACTTGGGCGCGCCGCCTGTAAGCTAAGAGGGAGAGGAGAGAATAACCTACTGAATTATCCGAACTAACACAGGATATGAAAATTGCTATTGGCTAGCTAAAACACGATCGATTTAAGGATCCGAGTTCTTTTTACTTAAAAAATCTCTCTTCACAAAATGCGTTCCTATAATCCATTCCTTGAAATTTGAATCTGTAAATCACTTTCGGTGAAAATCTAACATCGTGCAGAAAATACTAAACGAGCTGGGCCCAGCGTGACATAAATTGAAGGAAACCATCACATTCACGGACAAAAGAATATCTCCTTTAGCTATTCAGATCCAGGAGGCACTTTGGAGAAGACTAAACAACCTAAAACTCTTATTTAGCCGCAAAGGAAGAGATTTACGTTTCAAAAGAGGTCGAAGAAAGTGCTCTTGCATCAGAGGACAAATCATGCCGACCAGAAACAATAACCGCAGAAAATCAATATGCGTGTCATGACCTCTCAGTATGAAACAAGCGGCAAATTCACATTTACTCATTCAAAGAGTAGAACCCAGAATATAATATACCCACCAGAGAAAACAATTTTTGGAACAAGCAGCATTTTGGCACGAGGTAAAAGTCGTGTGTTGCCTACCAGCCCCCTTTTTACACTCTGTTAGATGGTTCGAGCATTTTGGCGGGATCACGGCTCTTTTGGCGCGTGTTGTAAATGCCCTTTGAATTATAATATTTGTGCGTTATTGTATAGTGATCGAGGATATACACAATACCAAAGGCAAGTAAATATTTTCCTCTGTTTTCCTCAGTGTCGTCAAACCGGCTTCACCGATGTGCTCGAACTCCGCATGCGAGAGCCATAACAAGCTTCTTCTCTACCTTTTAAATAATAAAGGTCTCTCTTACCTTATATCGGCGAAGACAGTTTCTGTCCTTCGGACATAATGCGAAATAACATCCAGAACTCTTCACGTTGAACTTTTGAAACCATTTCGGCGACAATATGTAACTTACCAGGTAACGTACCGAATAATTATTACTTTGGAGGGTTCGAATTCGACCTTCATAAAGCGCTAGATTTTGCCTTTCGCTTAAGAAACGAAAAAAATATTTCTTTTTTTCCAAGACTTGCACCAAGACCCTTTTTTAACACCAACCATGAATTTAAGTATTTTCATTAAGTGATTTTGACGAGAACCATAGCTGAGTTAAAATATCTCGCTCCGATGGTATAAATTCGGCGCGCAGAAGACAAGCTCTGATATTTGACGCAAATTTGTGTCCTGTCCTAAAATGAGTTTATTGACAGATGAACGGACAGAAAGCGATTAATGTGAACACCTGAGGTGCGTAAGGAAATGTGTCAAGACTAACGCCTTGTAGTTACTTGAGTCCAGTTTGTGGGTATCTCCATGGAAATTAAGGATCCCTGGTGCGTGCACGAAAATCGACCTTGCGGCTCGTAATGCAGGTTGCACGTTTTTGCTGCCCGTTTTACCATACACTCTTTTACAAGGACCAAAATAATTCTGATGGATGAATCTGACAATTGTGGAGTCATAATGTCAGTGAGCAACAGGGAAAACTTGGTCACGTGTTTCCTGTGAACGTGATTCTAAACCCAAGTTAACCTTGCAGATCGGGGCAAAGAGAACTAACGATTCCATGCCGACTAAATTTTTATAAAAACCAAACGATAAATCGAAAGCTTTTTGATTACCCAATTTAGCATGTTTCATGAATTGTGATCATTTTCACTTTGATGTGCATAGGGGATCGAGGATGCCCACCATTTTCAAATGTCATCTTAGTTTTTAAGTCATTTGACGCTGAACGTCACACAGGAAAGTTTTGGAATTTCCCGGTGACATGCTACTAAATTAACGCCAGTATCGGCAGATGCAGATGACTTTTTTTATGTGACATTCGAGCTCGAGCTAAAAAAATGGACTGGTTTGTAAAAAAATTGTCCAAAATGACTGAGGGAATTTCTTTTTATAACTTTGACACAACTTACTCATAACCCTACGTAATTAACTAGCTTACAATAACGGAATATGTATAAAAAAAAACGATCTGATCACCGCGTTCCTTGTGTGTAGCCAAATTGCATCCTGGTTGAACTACAGAAGATGAACAATTCGTTTGGATTCAGTGTTGTGGTAAGTGTGTATTCTTGTAGTGCTACATAGTAATTTAAATTAGAATTTAAATCAGATTATATGAAAACAAGAGTGTCCGAAAACTGAAATCGTAGTGTTTATAATAGATCTATCCAGACCTTATTTATTTTTTATCAGTTCTATTTACTGCTATGTGTGTTATCCGACACACCTCAAGCCAAAACTCCATCCGCAAGACCAGTTGTTGGTTTTAATTGATCGCAAAAAATGAAAAGGCCATATAATAAATAACTTACTAACCTCGTCCGTTCGGCCATTACGGGGAAATCTCAGACCTCGGCCTTGATGTGTTACATCAAGGCCTCGGTCTGAGATTCTCGTGCATGTAATGACCTCACTCTCAGTTAATAAGTAGTATATAATCCACTAACCCACTAATTGTTAAACGGATTTTTACCAGGGTGGTCCAGATTTTGGAGGTATTTTCGTGAAAACTATCAACCCGCATGGCGCAGCGGCCATGGATGGTAGGATAGGCATAAGTGACAGAATAGTTGCCGTAAATGGTGTCAACTTAACAGCCGCCATAAGACAAGAGGTATGTAGCAACACTGCCACACAAGGTGGGGGTTGGGGAACTCTCGCAGACGATTAGATCATAATAAACAAGTAAACGTCTCTTATTTTATCAGTCGGTGTTTCCTACGTCAGCCATTTTGAATATATGGTCTGATGATGCGAGGTCTGGAATGGAGCTGTATTGGGGAGCCGCTCAGACTTCTTTATTTTTTATTTTTCGTAAACGATTGGATCTTTCGAGAATTTTCTGATTTTCTGTCATGATGGCTTTTAAACAACAATATTAGAGATCAGTGGCGCGTCTCTCGAAAGGCCCGGTAACTTTTCGGGCCCGAAGACAAATTTTCAAATCAAAACCTGTTGAATAGTACCACAGTTCGTAGATCACAAACCTGTCAATTTCGCTTCATTAACCGATAGTTTCATTGTATTTTCAAAATTATTGAAACTATGGTCTTGAATGCAAACACAGCAAATATAAAACAGTTTTTCGGGCCCGAAAAGATTCTGGGACATTCGAGAAACAGGCTCCAGGCCACTCTCCAAGGAGTGAACATACTATAAACAGTAATTTAGATTTGAGCGATTTTTGATAAGCAATTTTTTAAAACGAATTTTAAAACATCGGACAGACTTTTTGAAGTTTAGCCTGTTTTTTTCTGACCCACCCCTCAATGTCAATGACAACGATAATGAATGATAATAATATTAATATCAACGTGATAGAACTAGATTTCAAGTTGACTGGATGAAGATGAAAGAAACAAAGACCAAGACGACTGAAAGCTAGCTAAAAATATTTTTATTTTTTAAGGCGTCAAGCCCTAGAACCGCATCTTGGCGCATAGAATGGAAAAAGAACAACAACTTTATGATCCTCTAGTCAGTTTTTGAAGAGAAGCTTATGAGGCCTTTAATTACTTTTATTCTTTTGCCATCAGAAAATAAGCGACATCTAATTGATGTATTTTCGACAAAAATTGCTATACGTAATCAATGATATATGCTTATTTAGGCAGTTGACGCTCTCCGAAATTCTCCAATTATCGCTCAGCTTGTCGTAGAAAAATGCTCGGCTGAAGATCACATGACAAATAGCAGCGGACCACCCACACCTCAAGAATCAAGATATGGGGCTGTACACTATAATCAATATCAACCGGAAAACTATAATGGTAAGGTTTACAACATATGATGATGGATGATAAGGGAACAAAAACTTCCTAACGCTTGTAAAATGCTTTAAATGGGGGCAGAGGGTGGAGGGGGGCTGCGGGGGGGGGTCTCATGACGCATACGTTTGGCATTACTAAAACGCAACCATCAGTTCGAAGGGGACAGATGGCGAATTGAGCTTGTTAGCAATATCTATAAGTCGTAAATTAAAAAGTTCATTGGTATGATGCCTAAAACCCGTGCAATTCTACAACTGGTTTCGACTCCATTACTGTATTTATTCGATTTAAACGCCGCGGCGTTTATTAAATTTTTAGCGTTTCTTATGCGGCGTTTATTCGAGGCGGGAGTTAATTTCGAAATCACTTTCTTAAATGACCGACAACAGTTATTGTAAATCGTTTGTAAATATTATGTAATTTAAAGGTTCCAATGACTCCCTTATTTTGCTGAGATAGAATCGTACTGTACTGAAGCGCACGTAGCAACTCCCCGGTATGGCCGAATACCCGTGCGACAACCATATCACCCGGGCAGTGGCAGCCATGGACAGCTGTTTCCCCTTGTTAGGGCTCATCAGCATGGCATAGCCGTCGGGTCAATAAGCGGAGGTTAACCCGCGTATCAAAGACCCTCGTTAACGTCTGGATGGTGTAAATTACCAATTTGTACCGAGGTTTTTCTTATTATTCTTCTGATTAAGTGCCAGCAGTGTTTAATCGAGGGCGGCGTTTATTGGCAATTTTGCTTCCATCTGCGGCGTTTTATCGAGGGCGGCGTTTTATCGAATAAATACAGTAAACCCCTCATCTGTCAATATATTAAATTCTAGAAGCTGATTGGTTAGAAGGAGTGTGTTAATGGCATCTTATAACGCGAGCCACTTATTATAACTCTATGGTCTCTTAATCTTTTGCAATAATTTTATAAATTTATCAGAGCCATTACCGAGTTGTTTTAAGTTCAGAAAGCGTTTCTTTTGAGATGCAGAGTTTAAATAACTAAAATTCAAAAGACTCCATGTTTGTTATTTACTGGCAAATAAACGCACTATAACTGGGTGTAGAAAGAATTAGAAATCTTCGTACTTCGCTCTGGTCACCTTTTTTATAGCATTTGAATTCTTCTTTCATTCTAGAACCAGTTTACGCAAGGGAATTTACCAAAAGTCCTCATACTGAAAATTCATCGGTACGGTTCGGTCGGAGGTGATATCAATAGATTGCTAACAGTCTGTTGCCATCAGGTTTAAATGTTTCATTCCCCTTAGGTATTATTTGTGACTATTCTTGGTATATATTGCAGATTACAATATGGATGATCTACCATTTGAGGTCTATCTAGCCAAAGGCCAGAATGGCCTGGGGATGAGCCTTACGGGCGGAGATAGTGGAGGTACAGGGTCTATTAAGTTCTAATTAAAACATCAACATTTTTATTCAATGAAACGGTTATTGTTGCGATTGCATGCTCTCTTGGTGTTTTAAATATTTGAATTGCCTTTTAGAAGTTGCTAAGAGAAAATGTCGAGTTCTAAACAACATTTTATTTTCAATCAAAGAGGCTTGTGCTGCTGTTAAAGTTTTTCAGTCAAAAGAAAGTTCAGTAGAGTTTCTAACTTACCAGAAACCCAACTAGAAAAACGTCTGTAAAAGTCAACATATACTAAGTCTTAGAACGAGCCTAGGAGGTGCTGTTCTCACCCAGTCCCCACAGATTTGCTCGGTCATGAATTTGCCATGTCTCGAAATCAACATTGAAGGGGAAAAGGCGAAGAGATCTGAATGGCCGCACGTTAACGTAAAAGTTGAACCTCGCTCAGCTTTTACGTTTACACACGACCTTTCGTACATTTCCTCTATTTTATTTGCACAAGTAAATTTTTTACGCGCGTTAAAGCACGTATTCTAAAAATTACGCGACAGTGGAATTCCACCCTAAAGAGTGTTTTCTACATGTATGATTGTTATTAAAGGTCCAATTTACATTAAGAAGTTGGTTCCGGGAGGTTCAGCTCTTTTGTCAGGACAGCTTCAAGTGAACGACATCATCCTTCAAGTGAACAACAAGAATGTGGATCAAATGAGCTATAGAGTAAGAATTTCAATTACGGACATTCGTCTTGAAAGACACAATAGAGCAGCTTAGCAGCGTGGCCTCCTGCCTTGGGGTCACTCATGGCGGGAAGAAAAACAGTGGCTAATCAAGCATCGATTGTGCTTTTTTTTGTCTCCCTGCACAGTATGTTAAGCCACTCTAATTTCACTAGACTTCTTCGGTGTCGCGACAAAAAGCCAAGCTGGTACTCGGCTAACATAAAAAAATGGTGGCTCACAACGCTGTATTTTTACAATCTTTCGAGGAGACATTTGTTGGGTTGAGATGGTTTTAAAAACTCAAAGAACATTCAGAACTGAACATTTTAGGCACATTTCAAAAATATTTTGGACTAGAGATCTGGGTCGGGTTGCATAGAAAGCATACTAAGCTGATTCAGCAACGGAACGGGAACGCGCGGAAACGCGACTTCCGGTGCCCAATTTACCTCTCTGCCATTGGTCAAGCCAGTTGTTTGATTTGCGCGCGTCGTTAATTGACGTTTCCGTTCTGCTGCTAAAACAGCCAACAAGATAAGAGGGCTCTTAGCTTTTGTTAATTCTGAAATAATTGTTACAAGTTCCATTAATCTTAAGATGTTTTGTATCAATTTAGGTTTCTGGGAAACTGCCCACCTACCCCTCCCCTAAGCCATCATTTTGCCCTAAGTGAGAAGTAAGTGATAATGTGGGCTTTGGGGAGGGGTAGGTGGTCAGTTTCCCAGAAACCCTAAATTGATGCGATGTTTTTACAGCTCGGGTCCTTTAATTAGCTATTCGAATCCTGAGTTCTACGAACTTTTTCAGAAATCATTGAAATTTGCCACTAATTTTTTGGTGTATCCCCTACAGGAAGTCCTTTCTATTCTTCGAAACTGTCCATCGGAAGTTCGACTGCTAATTCAAAGGCCGCAGGTGTCATCACATCCTCCCTACCCGGGGTACCGTGGGGGCAGCGACCGAGCAAGTGTGGACAGCTATGGAAGCTACAGCAGCATGTCAAGTATTTTTTAAATTAGCTTAGAGATTAATTTCGTTGATATATTTCTTAGAATAGTAGAATTTCCAGTGAAAGATCAAGTACAGTGTAGAACATCTATTAACGTGGCAGATCATTTCCTTTTCATAACAATCCATGAATGGAATCGATCGATAGCGATGATCTTAGCAGAGTATTCAAGTGTGAATTTTAATAAAATTTGTCGAAACATTAAATTTTTCATGAACTTGGCAAAAAATGAATAAAAACTTGTGTAGCAACAGGGCAGAACCTGTTTATATTAGTACCTTATTTCAAGATATATTTGTTTTCCTTTATTAGAAGACCCTCGCATAGATTATTTTTGTTCGGAGGGCGTAGGTAGTATATAGCGGGGTTTTGTGTCAATAGTTGCCTTGGCAGTAAAAGTGCCAAGCCAGGGGAACATTAACAGCTCTAATTTTCTGTGAGTAAGTTGTTAACCAAAGGCTTTTATCCTATTCAGACCTGCTCACTTTAAGGATATACTAGTCCTGTAGAGGCAAAGCAATGAAACTTTTTAAATACTTAGGTATAAGCACTTCAAAAATGCTTAGAGCCTGCGTAGCAGGCGCCGGTCTCAAGATTTCTTCCTTCGCCCTAACAACACCTGCCCCCGCTACGCAGGCTGGATGCATAAGGTAAAACCTTTTAACTGGGAACCGTTGACCTAGTTTATTGAAACTTGTATTACGATTCTGTCATCATGGGAAATAAAAATGTGCAGATTTGAATATATCTAGCAAAGACAGCAAAGATGCATGATGGTAATCATTTTCCTTTATGCAAAGAAGGCAGAGTTATTAAAAGTTCAAAAAAAAAAACAGAAGCAGGGCAACATCGTTTCGTCTCCGCGCCGCTCCTGGTCTAGCAAGGTACGAAAATCAAATGTTATATTTCCAGTTTCTGTAAAGTTTTATGAATTCGAGGTTTAGCATAGTGATGATTATAGAGTTTTAAAGTGATGACGTCATAAAAATTTAAATTCATGAAATTATGGGATTTGTCGGGATATTCTGAAAGGACAATATCTAAAGAGCCTGCATGGCTAAAAGTAGCATTTCGGGGCCAAATTGTCTCTCGATATAAGCCCAGTTATGCTCTGATCACTCCAAATTTGCCCGGCAATTTGCCCGGGTGGAGACACCGGAGCATAACTGGGCTAATATCTCAGAGACATTTTGCACGGAATTCCATAGTTTTTGGCAAGTAGGCCTTTTGGATGTGATTCTTTTAGAATGCATGTCCCAGCAAATCCCAGAATTTCACAAATTCAATTTTTTATGACCTTACACTTTGGGACTCTTTGTTTCAACCATGACTGCTTCCTTTTCTACCGATGGCGCATGTCAGTTTTATTGTATTTTAGCAATTGAGGAGACTGATTTCATGTTAAAAGGATTGGTCGTCGTTCTTTGACAGTGGTCAAACGAGGAAAGTGCAAACACATAGCAATTAAGTACCGTGTTCCAATGTTCAAATTTCGATAAATGATTAAAAAGGAATGCATTGACTGTTTTCTGTACTCTTAATTGCACGTGTTTGCACTTTATGGTCTAAACAACATTGAGTTATTTGTCCATAGTTGAGGCACCGTTTTACTAGGTTTAAAGGGTACGGTGTTAAAAGATAAGTTTTTGTGCTGATCTTAAGTTACAACAAACCTAGCGAGTCGTAATAATATGAATTATACTGATTTTAAAGCCTTTTTGTGCGAGTACTCTGTGCCCAAATGCATTGCTTTATGAGAGGGCCTGGGGAGGCGAGGAAATTCGGAACGCTACAAACCAAGAGATACAAAAATAATGCATGCTATTTGTAAGCAACCTATTGATGCCAGAAATTGAGGATGTTTATTGTACATAGAGGGAAAAAGATCGTAGCACTAGGAAGATTTCGGACCGGGTGGATTATCCTAGCGTTATACAGTTTTACACAGGTAACAAAGAGAACATGGTATCGAGGATCGATTCGTTAGTCTCCCCTAAAAAAGAACCTTTAAAACCGACCACTTTTAATTAAAAACATCTTTTTTGAATGGGTTTCTTGTTACCCACCCCGGATAAGTTGTCTCGCATATAAACCAACGACAAGATGTCCAGCCTTCTGGGATCTTCCTCGTGCTTGAATCTTCCTTCCGTCCATGTAAACAGTACTCAAGACTACAACAATCGGATGCAATTGTCTTTAACGTGTCCGATAAGACAGAGCTAAATGACAGCTAGATACGCGTGTTATATTTATTTAGTTTTATTGTTTTTTTTTCTTTCTTGCTTTTTTAATTTTGTATGTTATTACATTCATAGCCGTAATAAAATATTTTGAGATAAAGAATACTAAAATGTACAACCTGTTATTTATTTCTTATACCCGCAAGATGCACACCGTTGTTCTGTCGTTTTTTCCCTTCCCTGTGATCTAAATGCAGTGACTATTTATAAAACTCTTTTTTCCCAACGTCAGTCCTCTTGATAGCATGATCTCTTTAACCAGCATAGTTTTTGGCCCATCTAAAAACTTGACAGAATTTTAAAAGGTTACCATCATCGCTTACAACCGGTTCCTGCCATGTGGCATATCCACATTACAGCTAGTGAAGCCTTTTTTAACCCGCCTTTATCTTGGAACTAGGGAACTTCAACTGTGTAATGGTTTCTCAATGAACTTTAAGACGAATTGAACAAAAATTTTGCATCTCCTTTCTACAGAAATAGTTACTAACCACATTTTCCTTTCAAAAAGTAAGGATCCCTCCTCAAATTCTCACCCCTGGATACACATAACAAACTGAATGTGGCTGATTAGCCTCACAAAAAGGTATAAATTTTACACGGTAACTATTGTTACAACAAAAGTATTCTTTATGATATTTTTCAGTTATGTGATACATCGTTACCCCCTCCTAAATTTATTTTCAATTTGTAGTATTTTGGGATAATATTCGACTATGTCCTGCATGGAGATGAATAATTTTGCTGAAAAACTTCGCTTCGTCTAAATTACAACGCTTTTGGGAGATAAAATCTGTTGGCAGAAAAGACTGAGCCTTTTCACATGACGTCCCCCGAAGCTGGTCCTCCATGTTGGTGTCCAAAGAAAATAAAACGGTGTCCACGTTGGTGTGCCAAACTAGTCTTTTCTTATGTAAACGCTTCCTTTTGCGACTAATTATAATGAATAGCTGCCAGCCACGTGAATGTAAAAGATGTCGTGAATCGGTCTTCGAAATTTGTGATCGGCACGTGACTTTAAGGTTGGATGTAACTTTCCATGGCCACTGCTTGGCATCTAATAATTATCAAGCTGTGCCGACAAAGAGACTAGAGAAAGGTGTTCAAAACTTCTTTTTCATAGCTGTTCATCAGAACTACAGGGGTGAACCATGTGAACAGCAACTTTATTAGTTGTAGGTTTTGTTTATTATTTAATGAGGTACCGTAACATTTGACAGCGAAAAAACTGCTAAACTATATGACCCTCAAAAGTAAGTAAATAAATGTACTAAGTATTCCAAACTCGGGTAAATGGGATAACCCCTTTTTGCGAAAGTGTCTTCCTTTCTTTACAGATTTTTAATAGGCCAAAGATTAAATTCTTTGCTAGCGTGTTCTTCGACATTTTACCACCATCGGTTAGATAGGTTGCTGTGAGTCATAGTAAAGCAGGTTGAGAGCGGCTGGGAGCATTTAGTTCAGATAATTAGTCTTTTAAGCTAAATCTCGTGAATACTGTTCAGCACTTTCAGTAACAGGTGGTGAGCTCAAGAACGATGTTGAAGAACGCCCTTTCTGTCGCGTTGCTGCTGTCTGCTACTGTTTCAGTAGGTACGACGTACGTAAGGTGGTCTCATTTGTCAGGGGCACCCAACAAGAATGTAGTTCAAAACCACTTAAACATAGAATTGTTAAACGTATTTTAGTATTTAAACGGTAGATATAGGCATATTTTTATCCCCTAAAAATTTTTCATCTGTTCGGATTTCCTAGCTGAAAGTCTAGTGATCCGAAAATTATAGGGATCAAAACTTACCTTTTCGAAAATTTCAGCCAGGAAAAAGGCTCCCGAAAATTCTAGGTGACCTTTTTAGGGTAAAAATCCGTTAAAAAAGGGCAATTATACCATTTTTTAGATGTTCGAAAATCCTAGGAGAGACAGGCAAGCAAGAAATTTTACAACAAATGTTCCGAAAATTCTAGATCTCAAATCGTCTTCCGAACAGATATTTTCCGAAAATTGTCGTTGGGTGCCGGCTGATTTGTCTCTTTAAGGCTTTCACTGCCAAATGTAGCCAAAGACAAATTTCGACCAGATTTTCAAATTTCATTTTGTAAAATTTTGAAAAACAAATAGCACCATGTGTAAGTACAGGCAGAGAGCTTTCATTTGAATGGTCACATCATAGGATTTCGTCCACAGACTGAAAAGTTAGAGTCACCTGACAAAACTCCATCAAACACTCTGGCAGTGAAGGGGTTTAAGGCTATGTTCACACTGCACCGGACAGCTTTTGCGCCGGCACGAAAACCATACCGGATAGGGCTTCTGTTCAAACATAAGAACGGTGATTTTGGCGCGATTTCAGTGTAACGGAGTTAAGCTGCGCTGTGCGGATCTCTAAAGTGGAGAGTCACATATGGGATGGGTGTTCATATGATATCGGATAGCTTTTTGTGTCGGCGCAAAAAGCTACTATCTGCTATAGTGTGAGCAGTAGGTTAAGTCAAAGAAAAAGGGCGAATATAGTTTGGGAGAAAACGTTTTATGTCCGTTGCTGTCGACAACAACTGCGTCGTAAATGTACTTCGTATAAAGGGGAAAAAAATAGCGCTTGGTTAATTAAAGTCAAGCGCACAGGTCAAGCGATTTATGGTAGGAATTTTGCTTCATAAATGTACGGTCAAACGGGCGCATAAAACGTGCAACTTGTTTTGCAACATACAATGCTGCAAAACGAGATGAAAATTAAGGGATGTTGCGCGTTTTACAGATCACGAAAACCTTGCCACCTTATATTGTTGGAAGACAGGTTCGAACGTCCTTGGTAACACGCGAAACATCGCTAGTCAACTCGTTTTGCAGCAATGTTGCAAAACAAGTTGCAGGTTTTTTGTTCCCAGTTTACTGAGCTTTACGGCGAAACAAGGAATTTTTCAGAAAAAGGCACCGCAGGTTTCCATCCTTCTCCGTCTCTCATATCGTTTCCCGAGAGTAATTGAGATAATTTTTTTATTCCCATCAAAAGTTAAGTTTGATGAAGTAAACATCTTGATTGTTCCGCAATCGTTGGACCAACTGCGCTCGCGTGTGGTAAAAATAGAGAAAAACAGTGAATTTGGTTTGCAAAATTAGTACCTCTGTCAGGTATGGCTATTTTTTCTGCATTTTTTTCTAAATTTTTCTATTTCGTTTTTTAATATTGTAGTTCGGTTATACTCACGTGCAGGTAGCTTGGCCCTGTGTTGTTCAACAACAACAATAAAAAAAAACTTCCTGGCAACATATATTCTTGTCACTATAGAAGAATTTTGATTTTGCACAGTTTTTCTTTGAAATCACAAGTGACACTTCACTTTTTCTTATCAAGCCAAAAGAAAAGCGATTTTCGGATTATTGAAAGGACATAGGACCATAACACTAAAGTGCCAAATATTTTGGAGATGAATTTACGAGTGTTAAAAACTTGAAATTGGATGTTTTGAGAGTCGATATGGGCTCATCAACAATTCAATCCAATCTTCCCTCCACATGGGGTGTTTAAATATTAAAAACGCCTTCTGAAAATGACTCCCTTTGCATTTTGAAATAGCCATCTGCGATCCTAATAGCACTGGAGTTATTTATACTAATTGTAAGCAACATCTTTCATTTGTAAATTGACCTAGAAAAAAAATGACAGTAATTTAATAAAAATAAACAGTAGCTGTTAAACTTTGCAAACAAACAGATGGTTTGGATTGGACAGATTCGGTGTTACGAGATCATCTCACAGACATCTGATAATTTTGTTTGTGCATGGAAAGCTTAACGTTCTTGCGACCTGCCTGGCATGTACTGGAGCCTGACTCGTCTCCATTGGTCTCTCAGTCTTCTGTACGAGAAAAGCGCAAAGGAGGGCTCAAGCATTTCCCTTCACCCCCCCTTTTCCCTACGGCCACGACTTCTCGCGTTCCGTCCCCCGCGTGCGATTCCCGAGTCCAAATAAAGGCGACTGCAGACGAGTCAGTTTTGGAGCCATAAGACGACGATCCAATCAGACTTGAAACATGGTCGAGAGACGCTACAGCATCAGTCGGTCTGGTTTACTCACACTTTTTTGATCACCACTTTATTTATCAGCACTGAAGCACACGTATTAAATCTGCGCTATGGCCGCGGTATGCATACAACCATATCACCCGGGCAATGGCAGCCATGGACCAATGAACGGTCAAATCCGAGCATCAAAGGCCCTTTATTTAGGCACACAGTTCAATTTAGCTGATCTCATCTCCATACGCATGCCGCGGGAGTGAGTGTTGCGTTTCCCAACCAGCTGCTATCACATGTGTACTGTGAAGAGGGCGCTTAAACTGTAGCTCTTGCACTCGCCTCGGTAGGTCAAGGAGGGGCCAATGTTTACAATGCTAATGAGACTTACTTAGGACGAAAAAGCTGACCATGGCTCCTTCTGCGCGGGTGAAAAATTAGGAAGCTTAAGCAATCACGACGGCAACGGCAGAGAAAACGTCACTTGGAAAGGGAGTTCACGCTTTTTCAAACTTTACTACTCTTCTTCCATTTCATATAACTTGATTTTTATTGAGGAATTCTTCTGGACTTGATTCTATAGGACCAGAAACCCACAATGAGTTTCTGATAGGACTTTATCTATTAAAGTTCAAAATAAGAAATCGTTACCTTGCATTTGCGTTCACGTTGTCCATAAAACGTAAAACTAGGAGGTTTCTGGGTGTCTAGAAAACGACGACCTAGAAAACGAAGACCTACAACCCATAAAACGACTACCCAGACCGTAGTCGTGCAACGACGGCAAAGAAATGTACAAAAAAGCGTGAAACAATAATGATTATTATTGGTCTGAGTATCGTATAACACCCTCTGAGATCTCCATAATTCTACAGATGATACGAAAGCCGAATTCAATAATTGTTTAGGCATTCATTCAAAAGAATTTCTTGTTTAAAATGCTTACCTCCATCGATGTTAAGTTCATCTTCAATTGCCTGCTTATTGGCAAGTTTAGGAGATAAAGAGTTGTTCAGCCCTGCAAATATTCTCCAAATAGCCATGATAGTGGATGTCGTCCGACGAGTTGTATTCTTGCTCTTAGTTGCTACGTTTTTAGCCAATAGTTCGCACATTTCTTTCTCGCGAAACGAGTGAAATGTTCCGCCATTTTGTACTCACTACCAAAACTGAATCTCGTTCCCAGGTCTTCTCGGTTAACTGTTCAGTTTTCAGGCAAAATGCTGTAGAATAGGACAATTGCACGATGACGACGTCTGACTATTCTGGTAGTTGTAGTAAGACTTCGTCATCATGCAATTGTCCTATCGACGTCATTTTTCACGTATCGTAAATTCTTCCAAATTTAGTCAACAGTTGCTGCTGGGTATGATGAAATATGCGTGGGATTTAAGCCAATTAGAAACGGATAAATATTTTGAATGAACAAATGAATGAATAATAAATAATAATAATAATAATAATAATAATAATTAACAACAATAAACAATGATAATGATGATCAATATAATAATGCGAAGAGCTTTTGCGTTTCATTATCTCCACAGCATATTCCTTGAAGTGCTATATGTGCCCAGGTGACCAAAGCGTAGAAGATTGTGACAAAGACAAAAGTGAAATGAATTGTACAGACGCTACACCGGTCTGCGTTAAAGCAGACGCTGATCGAGAGAGTGGCAAAAAGATTAGATGGCGAGCATGCATGCTAAAGACGATGTGTGAAGATATCGAGAAAAAGTGCAAGGACGGTACATACACCGACGGCAACTCTGATAAAATAACGAAATGTAGCCTTAAATGCTGCAGAGATAAGGACCTCTGTAATGGAGCATTCGCGGTTACTGCACACGTGGTCATGTTGTCCGCAACAATGCTGTTGAGTTTAAACATGCATTGAAAGCTAACTTAGCTCTTCAATTTTTTTCTTTTTGAAACATTCACAAAGCAACTAAATTGCAAAAATCAAAGGTACTTTAAATTTAGTTATTAGTAGCACCAACCTTTTTTGTCACAAACTCAGTCCTTGTATACTATTGTTTATTGTCCTGAATTAATATTCTGGTTTGACATTGTATCTAATTCAGTCGAGTTTAGATTTTGTAAAACAGTGTGCAGATTTATAAGTCAGAAATAAATCAATAATTTGATCATTTTTTGCACGAGAAATATCATGTGATTACTTATTAATCAAGATACACGCGAAAAACATAACTGCAACAACAAATTTTGACAGCGCGCGCGTTTTTAGTTCATTCAACTGATTGGCTGAAACGGACTACTACCTTTGTCAAATTCAAACTTTTTCAACACCAACGCTTTCAAAATCATTCAGCTAAGAACTTGGAAATCTGCAAGGATATTTTACATGGTTTCCAGCCTGTTAAAAATAACTCGCTTTACAATAATCAGATCGTCGTTTGCTGAAAACCATGGCCATTTTTGTTAAATTTTGTTGTTAAAACAGCTCTAATCTGATTGGCTCTCGTTGGTTTCTTTTGTGTTTTCAGCCAATCAGAAACCATTTGTAATTTGCACTCGTGTTGCAAGTTTGCACTTGTGTTACAGAAGAACTGCACTCCTTTCTCAGCCAATCAGAATTGAGTAATTTTAATTCGTGTTTCGTGTTTATTATTAAACTAAAAACATCACGGTCGAATATCACAAAAACAATATTTTTGCGATCTCCAAGGAAACATGCTTAATCGGTCTTGCATAAAGTCTCTTACAAAATTGAACTGATTATGTGAGGTCCCTGACTCGATAGGTTACCGGCAAGGGTGGCAAAAGTTGGTGGGTTCGAGAATTTCAATAAGAAACATGGTGGAGAACACCCTTGCTGTCGTTTTACGTCTTTTGCTGCCCTGTGCCACATTTTTCATTGGTAGGTAATGTGGTAATCTGTTAATTGAAGGGCATGGCTGCAGGCCAGTTTCCGAACTTGGTGTTCAAGTCAAGGCGCAAAACTTAGCGCGAATAAAATCAGACTGACCTATCAAAGAATTTTTAATTACTGAGTTTCGCTGAAAACAGTTTATGTGCATTGCTGAGGATTGCGTCAAGGAAAATTTTCGGTCTGAGTGGATATTACATCATAACCGTATACAGTCGAACCTCCATGTGCGACCACCTCCCATAAACGACCGCCTATCCAAAACACCAAAATTTTCCCAGTCAAAGCCTTACAGTTGGAACCTCTAGTAAACGACCACCTCATGTAAGCGTCCGCGTCCACTTTTTGGGCTTGACGGTTAATGATTTTCCATTTATTTTAACCTCTTGTAAGCGACCATTTGACGCATTCTCTGATCTCTAAGTTCTCTGTGGGCACTATGCTACTTAGAATGAACGAAGAACTTTTGTGAGAAAATGGAACTACACATGTCGTAACTTAGACATTGCAAGCAATAAATTATCTTCCATAAAGTAGATGTGCCTGGACCTCTTCTCGGAAGAGGTGCCCTGTGGTTTGATTCTTGTAAACGACCACCTCCCGTAAGTGACCACTCAGTCTTTGCACTTGGGTGGTCGCTTACAGGACGCTCGCTCGACTGTAATGTACTTAGAGGCTCTTTGTACAGTTTAGTTTGCTGTGTTTCTATTGCCATTTTCCAACATAGTCTTATACAGCGGTTGCCATGGATTATAGGGCACACTGAAATGTCAACAGGCTTGATCGTTAAGGGTGTGTTTTTTCGTTGTAATCAACAACCATTTTTATCGACTTTAGTTTTAAATTCTATTGTTATATACATGTATTAACAATTAACTATTTTATTCTTTTCATTTATTTAGCTCCTATTCACGATTTGCCTTATACAAGAACAGTGCATGTCTCAGAGTATTATGGAGGGGGACATGGGGGTTTACGGTATTGTGGTATTGAGCTTTTTTTCAAGCAGTATTTCGGTAGTTTTGATTTTAATGTGCGGTATTGCGGTATCATCCAGCCCTGCGGTATGCGGTTTCTTTCATCCTTCTGGCTAACGGGTATTGGGTAAAAGAAGATCCTTCACGGTATTGTGGTACCGTTCATTTGCCCTCTCTTGTGTCAATATTTGGAAGACTTTAGACTTAACGGTAAATGAATACGCAGTTTCTGAAGGTTACTCTATGATGAAATTGGTAGGACATCGAGTAACCTGGCTTTTCGATCGTGTACCGATCAATTCGAGATCTCACGTTTTCTCGCAAATGCTGAGGTTGATTTTCTGGTGTATACATGATTTAAATTAAAAAACACGCCAGATGGATACAACGTTAAGTAAGCGTGACCAGTCATAAATGTGGTATCGGTATTTCGTCGATTTTCGACACGGTAGTGCGGTATTTGCCAATTTCTCTTACGGTATTACGATATTGCGGTATTGGGTACCCCCCCCCCCCAATGTCCCCTCATCAAAATACCCGAAACACTGTGATCAGTCAACTGAAGTGTTTCTTTGTCTCAAAAGCATATTCCTTGAATTGCTATGAGTGCAAACCGGACATAAGCGAAGACGATTGTGATAACAATAAAGTTCAAATAAACTGCACCTTTGCTGAACCGGCCTGCTCAAAGGTCGACTATAAAACAAAGAGCGGCAAAGTTATAGAGCTCGACGGTGCTTGCACAAGACGGCCTGTGAGGAGAACATGAAAAAGTGCGAGGACGTCACATTCCCTGATGACAGCTATGATACGCTAAAGAGCTGTAGTGCTTACTGCTGCAGCGATAAGGACCTGCGCAATGGTGCATTCACAGTTACTGCAAACGTGTTCGTGTTGTCGACGATAATGCTGTTCATTTTGAACATGTTTTAAACTTTCCCTTTTTATTTTCCGTTCCTTTAAACAAATAACAACTGTTGTTAAGCTAGAAAAAGGGAAAGGTATTTTAACTTCAATACATTAGGTAGCTGATTTCGTCCGAAAATCCTTGTATTTCATGTGTTTCTAGCTTTAGTTGATCATTCAGTCTAGTTTTCATTTTGTTAATTTTAAATAGAGTGAATTGTTACGAGAAATAAACAACAATTTGTTCAGCGGATTTATTCGCAAACTCTTTCCTTTATTTTTTGTCTATACGTGCTTCTCACTTCCTCCCTTACACCTTAATTCCTCCTCTACTCATTTTTACAACTGCCAAGCAGTCCGCTATACTACTGTCACAGAGAGCAAGGTCACGCTGAGACCAGAAGAAAGGGAAAAAAAACAGTAAGAAAGGATGGAAGAAAGGAAGAAAAGTAGGAAGTAAGAAAGGAAGGATTACGAAGGAGTCGAGCAAAAGAAGGGTAAAGAACAAAGGAAGGAAGGAAGGAAGGGAAGGGAAAATGGGGGAAGGTAGGAAAAGGAAGGAAGAAAGGGAGGGCGAAAGGATGAGAAGGCGAAAGAGAGGAAGGGCAAAAGGAAGAGAGGGCAAAAGAAAGGGAGGGCGAAAGGATGAGAAGGCGAAAGGATGAGAAGGCGAAAGAGAGGAAGGGCAAAAGGAAGAGAGGGCAAAAGAAAGGGAGGGCGAAAGGATGGGAGGGCGAAAGGATGAGAAGGCGAAAGAGAGGAAGGGCGAAAGGAAGAGAGGGCAAAAGAAAGGGAGAGCGAAAGGATGAGAAGGCGAAAGAGAGGAAGGGCAAAAGGAAGAGAGGGCAAAAGAAAGGGAGGGCGAAAGGATGGGAGGGCGAAAGGATGAGAAGGCGAAAGAGAGGAAGGGCAAAAGGAAGAGAGGGCAAAAGAAAGGGAGGGCGAAAGGATGAGAGGGCGAAAGGAAGGGAGGGAGAAAGAGAGGGAGGGAGTCATTCTTTGACAGTGGTCAAACGAGGAAAATTGCAAACACTTAGCAATTGAGTACCTTCAAAGCTATCAAAATTCTTAATATCATAATTCAATGTTCAAATTTCGATAAATGATTAAAAAGCAATGCATTGACTGTTTTCTGTACTCTTAATCGCACGTGTTTGCACTTTATGGTCTAAACAATATTGAGTTATTTGTCCATAAGTGAGGTACCGTTGTACTAGGTTTAAAGGGTACGGTGTTAAAAGATAAGTTTTTGGGCTGATCTTAAGTTACAACAAACCTAGCGAGTCGTAATAGTATGAATTATACTGATTTTAAAGCCTTTTTGTGCGAGTATTATGTGCGCAAATGTATTGCTTTATGAGAGGGCAAGGAGGAGGGGAGGAAATTCGGAACGCTATACAAACCAAGAGATACAAAAATAATGCATGCTATTTGTAAGTAACCTATTGATGCCAGAAATTGGGGATGTTTATTGTGCATAGAGGGAAAAAGTTCGTGGCACTAGGAAGATTTGGGACCGGGAGGATTATCCTTAGCGCCATACAGATTTACACAGGTAACGAAGAGAAAATGGTCTCGAGGATCGATTCGTTAGTATCCCCAAAAAAGAACCTTTAAAACCGACCACTTTTAATTAAAAACAGCTTTTTTGAATGGGTTTCTTGTTACCCACCCCGGCTAAGTTGTCTCGCATATAAACCAACGACAAGATGTTCAGCCTTCTGGAATCTTCCTCGTGCTTAAATCTTCCTTCCGTCCATGTAAACAGTAATCAAGACTACAAAAATCGGATGCAAATTGTCTTTAACGTGTCCGATAAGACAGAGCTAAAAGACAGCTAGATACGCGTGTTATATTCATTTAGTTTTCTTGTTTTTTTTTTCTTTCTTGCTTTTTTAATTTTGTATGTTATTACATTGATAGCCGTAATAAAATATTTTGAGATAAAGAACACTTTAACTTGTTATCTATTTCCTATACCCCCAAGCATGCTCAGCGTTGTTCTGTCATTTTTTCCTTCCCTGTGATCTAAACGCTGTGACTATTTATAAATTAAAGTCTTTTTTCCCAACGTCAGTCCTCTTGATAGCTTAACCTCGCTAACCAGCATAGCTTTTGGCCCATCTAAAAAGTTGACAGAATTTTAAAAGGTTATACAATCATCGCTTACAACCGGTTCCTGCTATGTGGCATATCCACATTACAGCCAGTGAAGCCCTTTTTAACCCGCCTTTATCTTGGAACTAAGGAACTTCTACTGTGTAATGGTTTCTCAATGAACTTTAAGACGAATTGAACAAAAATTTTGCATCTCTTTTCTACAGAAATAGATTCTAACCACATTTTCCTTTCAAAAAGTTAGGATCCCTCCTCAAATTCTCACCCCTGGATACATATAACAAACTGAATGTGGCTGATTAGCCTCACAAAAAGGTATAAATTTTACACGGTAACTATTGTTTCAACAAAAGTACTCTTTATGATATTTTTCAGTTGTGATACATCGTTACCCCCTCCTAAATTTATTTTCAATTTATAGTATTTTGGGATAATATTCGACTAAGTCCTGCATGGAGATGAATAATTTTGCTGAAAAACTTCGCTTCGTCTAAATTACAACGCTTTTGGGAGATATAATCTGTTGCAGAAATGACTGAGCCTTTTCACATGACGTCCCCCGAAACTGGTCCTCCATGTTGGTGTCTAAAGAAAATAAAACGGTGTCCACGTTGGTGTCCCAAACTAGTCTTTTCTTATGTAAACGCTTCCTTTTGCGACTAATTATAATGAATGGCTGCTAGCCACGTGAATGTAAAAGATGTCGTGAATCGGTCTTCGAAATTTGTGATCGGCACGTGACTTTAAGGTTGGATGTAACTTTCCATGGCCACTGCTTGGCATCTAATAATTATCAAGCTGTGCCGACGAAGAGTCTAGAGAAAGGTGTTCAAAACTTCTTTTTCATAGCTGTTCATCAGAACTACAGGGGTGAACCATGTGAACAGCAACTTTATTAGTTGTAGGTTTTGTTTATTATTTAATGAGGTACCGTAACATTTGACAGCGAAAAAACTGCTAAACTATATGACCCTCAAAAGTAAGTAAATAAATGTACTAAGTATTCCAAACTCGGGTAAATGGGATAACCCCTTTTTGCGAAAGTGTCTTCCTTTCTTTACAGATTTTTAATAGGCCAAATATTAAATTCTTTGCTAGCGTGTTCTTCGACATTTTACCACCAACGGTTAGATAGGTTGCTGTGAGTCATAGTAAAGCAGGTTGAGAGCTGCTGGGAGCATTTACTTCAGATAATTAGTCTTTTAAGCTAAATCTCGTGAATACTGTTCAGCACTGTCAGTACTCAGGTGGTGAGCTCAAGAACGATGCTGAAGAACGCCCTTTCTGTTGCGTTGCTGCTGTCTGCTACTGTTTCAGTAGGTACGACGTACGTAAGGTGGTCTCATTTGTCAGGGGCACCCAACAAGAATATAGTTCAAAACCACTTAAACATAGAATTGTTAAACGTATTTTAGTATTTAAACGGTAGATATAGGCATATTTTTATCCCCTAAAAATTTTTCATCTGTTCGGATTTCCTAGCTGAAAGTCTAGTGATCCGAAAATTATAGAGATCAAAACTTACCTTTTCGAAAATTTCAGCCAGCAAAAAGGCTCCCGAAAATTCTAGGTGACCTTTTTAGGGTAAAAATCCGTTAAAAATAGGCAATTATACCATTTTTTAGATGTTCGAAAATCCTAGGAGAGGCAGGCTGGCAAGAAATTTTACAACAAATGTTCCGAAAATTCTAGATCTCAAATCGTCTTCCGAACAGATATTTTTCCGAAAATTGTCGTTGGGTGCCGGCTGATTTGTCTCTTTAAGGCTTTCACTGCCAAATGTAGCCAAAGACAAATTTCGACCAGATTTTCAAATTTCATTTTGTAAAATTTTGAAAAACAAATAGCACCATGTGTAAGTACAGGCAGAGAGCTTTCATTTGAATGGTCACATCATAGGATTTCGTCCACAGACTGAAAAGTTAGAGTCACCTGACAAAACTCCATCAAACACTCTGGCAGTGAAGGGGTTTAAGGCTATGTTCACACTGCACCGGACAGCTTTTGCACCGGCACGAAAACCATGCCGAATAGGGCTTCTTTTCAAACATAAGAACGGTGATTTTGGCGCGATTTCAGTGTAACGGAGTTAAGCTGCGCTGTGCGGATCTCTAAAGTGGAGAGTCACATATGGGATGGGTGTTCATATGATATCGGATAGCTTTTTGTGTCGGCGCAAAAAGCTACTATCTGCTATAGTGTGAGCAGTAGGTTAAGTCAAAGAGAAAGGGCGAATATAGTTTGGGAGAAAACGTTTTATGTCCGTTGCTGTCGACAACAACTGCGTCGTAAATGTACTTCCTATAAAGGGGAAAAAAATAGCGCTTGGTTAATTAAAGTCAAGCGCACAGGTCAAGCGATTTATGGTAGGAATTTTGCTTCATAAATGTACGGTCAAACGGGCGCATAAAACTTGCAACTTGTTTGGAACATACAATGCTGCAAAACGAGATGAAAATTAAGCGATGTTGCGCGTTTTACAGATTACGAAAACCTTGCCACCTTATATTGTTGGAAGACAGGTTCGAACGTCCTTGGTTACACGCGAAACATCGCTAGTCAACTCGTTTTGCAGCAATGTTGCAAAACAAGTTGCAGGTTTTTTGTTCCCAGTTTACTGAGCTTTACGGCGAAACAAGGAATTTTTCAGAAAAAGGCACCGCAGGTTTCCATCCTTCTCCGTCTCTCATATCGTTTCCCGAGAGTAATTGAGATAATTTTTTTATTCCCATCAAAAGTTAAGTTTGATGAAGTAAACATCTTGATTGTTCCGCAATCGTTGGACCAACTGCGCTCGCGTGTGGTAAAAATAGAGAAAAACAGTGAATTTGGTTTGCAAAATTAGTACCTCTGTCAGGTATGGCTATTTTTTCTGCATTTTTTTTCTAAATTTTTCTATTTCGTTTTTTAATATTGTAGTTCGGTTATACTCACGTGCAGGTAGCTTGGCCCTGTGTTTTTCAACAACAATAATAAAAAAAAACTTCCTGGCAACATATATTCTTGTCACTATAGAAGAATTTTGATTTTGCACAGTTTTTCTCTGAAATCACAAGTGACACTTCACTTTTTCTTATCAAACCAAAAGAAAAGCGATTTTCGGAATATTGAAAGGACATAGGACCATAACACTATAGTGCCAAATATTTTGGAGATGAATTTACGAGTGTTAAAAACTTGAAACTGGATGTTTTGAGAGTCGATATGGGCTCATCAACAATTCAATCCAATCTTCCCTCCACATTGGGTGTTTAAATATTAAAAACGCCTTCTGAAAATGACTCCCTTTGCATTTTGAAATAGCCATCTGCGATCCTAATAGCACTGGAGTTATTTATACTAATTGTAAGCAACATCTCTCATTTGTAAATTGACCTAGAAAAAAAATGACAGTAATTTAACAAAAATAAACAGTAGCTGTTAAGAGCGCCGGTCAGGAAAAATCGACCAAAATCTTAATTTCGTGGCAAGAGTTGAAAAATCAATTTCTTTCAGTTTTTGTTCATAGACAGCTTTTAGGTAGATAAGAAACCTAAAGTAGATTGTTCCTGCCGAAAGCTTTTTATTCGTGAGAAAAATTAGAAGATCGGTTTTCGATGTCGGAGACTCAGACTGCCCTAATTTTTAACCTGAAATTCACTAACATTAACAATCCTCGCGTTCGCAAACGAAGCCGCATGGAGAAATTTGGACTCTTTCCATGAACAGAAAAATTCCTTTTCTTCCACTAAAAGATACTTTCAGGGCAATAGCGAAGCTTGTCGTACTGAAATAATTCAAAAATGAGGGATAGGTTTTTAGGATAACAAAACCTTAAGTTCGTTACTCATTTTCGACGGCAATATTTAACATGTGGTATAACTCCAAATTCTCTTAGTGCTATTTAAATCACACATTTAGACATTCATTTAAAACATACCTGGGAATTGGCTTGGGTTATTGAATGTAATCTCCGTAAGAGACCATAGAAGTTCAGGAATTTTCATGGTAGGCCGGCGGTAATTGTGTAAACACTTCCAACTTCGAAACACACAAAAGTAGATATTTACAGCCTAAAGGCTCGTTTTTTTGTACTTCTTGTAGGTTTTCCCATTGCAAAATTTCTTTTTCCAATCAAAGAGTGGAGTAAAAAGGTGAAACTGGGTCAATTTTAGCCATTTTGAAACGCTGAACCCTACCAGACGGCGACTCTGCGTGACAATCTGTTCGTGACTGCACGTGACATGACGTACGTTTGAAGAGACGAATCCGTTAAAATGACAGTCACGGAATCACAATAGTAACGCAACGCATTTCTTGAAAGAGTAACATTTTCGATCCCGACAGTATTTTGAAGAAGAAAAAGTCAAACGCGCTTTTTTGGTACCCACATTTTATCGAAAAATATGGACTTTAACAATGGTAATTTGCTAAGGATGACGGAACAGGAAGATATTTCGTTTTCTTACTTTACGATCGAGAAAACTTGGAGCCGTTACATAAGGTATTTTGGTCACGCTTCACTATTTTTACCGGACTTTGATGCTTTCGTTTGGAGGCTGCCTAAAGGAACCCGAGCTAATTCTCAGGTATGCTTTAGATGAATGTCTAAATGTGTGAATAAACGAGGACCGGGAAAATTTGGAGCTATACCACGTGAAGAAAAATGCCACAGAAAACAACTACTAAATTAAAGTTTTTGTCACCGTAAAAATCTGTTCTTCGTTTCTGAATTATGTTAGTTCAACGAGTTTTGATATTGCTTTGAAAGTATCTTCTAGTGAAAGAAGAGGAGTTGTTTTATTGATGGAAAGTGCCCACATTTCTCCTTGCGGCTTTATTTGCGAACGCGAGGAGAGTCGATGTTAGCAAATTTCGGGTTGAAAATACGGCCATTTTGAAACTCCAACCACGAAAACTGATATTCTTACTTTTCTCGAAAGTAAAAGGCTTTTTGCGAGAACAACTTACATCAGATTACTTATCTACCTAAACGCTATTTATGGACAAAAAATGAAGGCAATCGATTTTTCAACTCTTGCCACTTGATGGTCGATATTTCCTGACCGTCGCTCTTAAACTTTGCAAACAAACAGATGGTTTGGATTGGACAGATTCGGTGTTACGAGATCATCTCACAGACATCTGATAATTTTGTTTGTGCATGGAAAGCTTAACGTTCTTGCGACCTGCCTGGCATGTATTGGAGCCTGACTCGTCTCCATTGGTCTCTCAGTCTTCTGTACGAGAAAAGCGCAAAGGTGGGCTCAAGCATTTCCCTTCACCCCCCCTTCTCCCTACGGCCACGACTTCTCGCGTTCCGTCCCCCGCGTGCGATTCCCGAGTCCAAATAAAGGCGACTGCAGACGAGTCAGTTTTGGAGCCATAAGACGACGATCCAATCAGACTTGAAACATGGTCGAGAGACGCTACAGCATCAGTCGGTCTGGTTTACTCACACTTTTTTGATCACCACTTTATTTATCAGCACTGAAGCACACGTATTAAATCTGCGCCATGGCCGCGGTATGCATACAACCATATCACCCGGGCAATGGCAGCCATGGACCAATGAACGGTCAAATCCGAGCATCAATGGCCCTTTATTTAGGCACACAGTTCAATTTAGCTGATCTCATCTCCATACGCATGCCGTGGGAGTGAGTGTTGCCGTTCCCAACCAGCAGCTATCACATGTGTACTGTGAAGAGGGCGCTTAAACTATAGCTCTTGCACTCGCCTCGGTAGGTCACGGAGGGGCCAATGTTTACAATGCTAATGAGACTTACTTAGGACGAAAAAGCTGACCATGGCTCCTTCTGCGCGGGTGAAAAATTAGGAAGCTTAAGCAATCACGACGGCAACGGCAGAGAAAACGTCACTTGGAAAGCGAGTTCACGCTTTTTGAAACTTTACTACTCTTCTTCCATTTCATGTAACTTGATTTTTATTGAGGAATTCTTCTGGACTTGATTCTATAGGACCAGAAACCCATAATGAGTTTCTGATAGGACTTTATCTATTAAAGTTCAAAATAAGAAATCGTTACCTTGCATTTGCGTTCACGTTGTCCATAAAACGTAAAACTAGGAGGTTTCTGGGTGTCTAGAAAACGACGACCTAGAAAACGAAGACCTACAACCCATAAAACGACTACCTAGACCGTAGTCGTGCAACGACGGCAAAGAAATGTACAAAAAAGCGTGAAACAATAATAATAATTATTATAATTATTATTGGTCTGAGTATCGTATAACACCCTCTGAGATCTCCATAATTCTACAGATGATACGAAAGCCAAATTCAATAATTGTTTAGGCATTCATTCAAAAGAATTTCTTGTTTAAAATGCTTACCTCCATCGATGTTAAGTTCATCTTCAATTGCCTGCTTATTGGCAAGTTTAGGAGATAAAGAGTTGTTCAGCCCTGCAAATATTCTCCAAATAGCCATGATAGTGGATGTCGTCCGACGAGTTGTATTCTTGCTCTTAGTTGCTACGTTTTTAGCCAATAGCTCGCACATTTCTTTCTCGTGAAACGAGTGAAATGTTCCGCCATTTTGTACTCACTACCAAAACTGAATCTCGTTCCCAGGTCTTCTCGGTTAACTGTTCAGTTTTCAGGCAAAATGCTGTAGAATAGGACAATTGCACGATGATGACGTCTGACTATTCTGGTAGTTGTAGTAAGACTTCGTCATCATGCAATTGTCCTATCGACGTCATTTTTCACGTATCGTAAATTCTTCCAAATCTAGTCAACAGTTGCTGCTGGGTATGATGAAATATGCGTGGGATTTAAGCCAATTAGAAACGGAAAAATATTTTGAATGAACAAATGAATGAATAATAAATAATAATAATAATAATAATAATGACAACAATAAACAATGATAATGATGATGAATATAATAATGCGAAGAGCTTTTGCATTTCATTATCTCCACAGCATATTCCTTGAAGTGCTATATGTGCCCAGGTGACCAAAGCGTAGAAGATTGTGACAAAGACAAAAGTGAAATGAATTGTACAGACGCTACACCGGTCTGCGTTAAAGCAGACGCTGATCGAGAGAGTGGCAAAAAGATTAGATGGCGAGCATGCATGCTAAAGACGATGTGTGAAGATATCGAGAAAAAGTGCAAGGACGGTACATACACCGACGGCAACTCGGATAAAATAAAGAAATGTAGCCTTAAATGCTGCAGAGATAAGGACCTCTGTAATGGAGCATTCGCGGTTACTGCACACGTGCTCATGTTGTCCGCAACAATGCTGTTGAGTTTAAACATGCATTGAAAGCTAACTTAGCTCTTCAATTTTTTTCTTTTTGAAACATTCACAAAGCAACTAAATTGCAAAAATCAAAGGTACTTTAAATTTAGTTATTAGTAGCACCAACCTTTTTTTGTCACAAACTCAGTCCTTGTATACTATTGTTTATTGTCCTGAATTAATATTCTGGTTTGACATTGTATCTAATTCAGTCGAGTTTACATTTTGTAAAACAGTGTGCAGATTTATAAGTCAGAAATAAATCAATAATTTGATCATTTTTTGCACGAGAAATATCATGTGATTACTTATTAATCAAGATACACGCGAAAAACATAACTGCAACAACAAATTTTGACAGCGCGTGCGTTTTTAGTTCATTCAACTGATTGGCTGAAACAGACTACTACCTTTGTCAAATTCAAACTTTTTCAACACCAACGCTTTCAAAATCATTCAGCTAAGAACTTGGAAATGTGCAAGGATATTTTACATGGTTTCCAGCCTGTTAAAAATAACTCGCTTTACAATAATCAGATCGTCGTTTGCTGAAAACCATGGCCATTTTTGTTAAATTTTGTTGCTAAAACAGCTCTAATCTGATTGGCTCTCGTTGGTTTCTTTTGTGTTTTCAGCCAATCAGAAACCATTTGTAATTTGCACTCGTGTTGCAAGTTTGCACTTGTGTTACAGAAGAACTGCACTCCTTTCTCAGCCAATCAGAATTGGGTAATTTTAATTCGTGTTTCGTGTTTATTATTAAACTAAAAACATCACGGTCGAATATCACAAAAACAATATTTTTGCGATCTCCAAGGAAACATGCTTAATCGGTCTTGCATAAAGTCTCTTACAAAATTGAACTGATTATGTGAGGTCCCTGTCTCGATAGGTTACCGGCAAGGGTGGCAAAAGTTGGTGGATTCGAGAATTTCTTTAATAAACATGGTGGAGAACACCCTTGCTGTCGTTTTACGTCTTTTGCTGCCCTGTGCCACATTTTCCATTGGTAGGTAATGTGGTAATCTGTTAATTGAAGGGCATGGCTGCAGGCCAGTTTCCGAACTTGGTGTTCAAGTCAAGGAGCAAAACTTAGCGCGAATAAAATCAGACTGACCTATCAAAGAATTTTTAATTACTGAGTTTCGCTGAAAACAGTTTATGTGCATTGCTGAGGATTGCGTCAAGGAAAATTTTCGGTCTGAGTGGATATTACATCATAACCGTATACAGTCGAACCTCCATGTGCGACCACCTCCCATAAACGACCGCCTATCCAAAACACCAAAATTTTCCCAGTCAAAGCCTTACAGTTGGAACCTCTAGTAATTAAACGACCACCTCATGTAAGCGTCCGCGTCCACTTTTTGGGCTTGACGGTTAATGATTTTCCATTTATTTTAACCTCTTGTAAGCGACCATTTGACGCATTCTCTGATCTCTAAGTTCTCTGTGGGCACTATGCTACTTAGAATGAACGAAGAACTTTTGTGAGAAAATGGAACTACACATGTCGTAACTTAGACATTGCAAGCAATAAATTATCTTCCATAAAGTAGATGTGCCTGGACCTCTTCTCGGAAGAGGTCCCCTGTGGTTTGATTCTTGTAAACGACCACCTCCCGTAAGCGACCACTCAGTCTTTGCACTTGGGTGGTCGCTTACAGGACGCTCGACTGTAATGTACTTAGAGGCTCTTTGTACAGTTTATTTTGCTGTGTTTCTATTGCCATTTTCCAACATAGTCTTATACAGCGGTTGCCATGGATTATAGGGCACACTGAAATGTCAACAGGCATGATCGTTAAGGGTGTGTTTTTTCGTTGTAATCAACAACCATTTTTATCGACTTTAGTTTTAAATTCTATTGTTATATACATGTATTAACAATTAACTATTTTATTCTTTTCATTTATTTAGCTCCTATTCACGATTTGCCTTATACAAAAACAGTGCATGTCTCAGAGTATTATGGAGGGGGACATGGGGGTTTACGGTATTGTGGTATTGAGCTTTTTTTCAAGCAATATTTCGGTAGTTTTGATTTTAATGTGCGGTATTGCGGTATCATCCAGCCCTGCGGTATGCGGTTTCTTTCATCCTTCTGGCTAACGGGTATTGGTAAAAGAAGATCCTTCACGGTATTGTGGTACCGTTCATTTGCCCTCTCCTGTGTCAATATTTGGAAGACTTTAGACTTAACGGTAAATGAATACGCAGTTTCTGAAGGTTACTCTATGATGAAATTGGTAGGACATCGAGTAACCTGGCTTTTCGATCGTGTACCGATCAATTCGAGATCTCACGTTTTCTCGCAAATGCTGAGGTTGATTTTCTGGTGTATACATGCTTTAAATTAAAAAACACGCCAGATGGATACAACGTTAAGTAAGCGTGACCAGACATAAATGTGGTATCGGTATTTCGTCGATTTTCGACACGGTAGTGCGGTATTTGCCAATTTCTCTTACGGTATTACGATATTGCGGTATTGGGTACCCCACCCCCCCAATGTCCCCTCATCAAAATACCCGAAACACTGTGATCAGTCAACTGAAGTGTTTCTTTGTCTCAACAGCATATTCCTTGAATTGCTATGAGTGCAAACCGGACATAAGCGAAGACGATTGTGATAACAATAAAGTTCAAATAAACTGCACCTTTGCTGAACCGGCCTGCTCAAAGATCGACTATAAAACAAAGAGCGGCAAAGTTATAGAGCTCGACGGTGCTTGCACAAGACGGCCTGTGAGGAGAACATGAAAAAGTGCGAGGACGTCACATTCCCTGATGACAGCTATGATACGCTAAAGAGCTGTAGTGCTTACTGCTGCAGCGATAAGGACCTGTGCAATGTTGCATTCACAGTTACTGCAAACGTGTTCGTGTTGTCGACGATAATGCTGTTCATTTTGAACATGTTTTAAACTTTCCTTTTTTATTTTCCGTTCCTTTAAACAAATAACAACTGTTGTTAAGCTAGAAAAAGGGAAAGGTATTTTAACTTCAATAGTTAGGTAGCTGATTTCGTCCGAAAATCCTTGTATTTCATGTGTTTCTAGCTTTAGTTGATCATTCAGTCTAGTTTTCATTTTGTTAATTTTAAATAGAGTGAATTGTTACGAGAAATAAACAACAATTTGTTCAGCGGATTTATTCGCAAACTCTTTCCTTTATTTTTTGTCTATACGTGCTTCTCACTTCCTCCCTTACACCTTAATTCCTCCTCTACTCATTTTTACAACTGCCAAGCAGTCCGCTATACTACTGTCACAGAGAGCAAGGTCACGCTGAGACCAGAAGAAAGGGAAAAAAAACAGTAAGAAAGGATGGAAGAAAGGAAGACCGGAAAAGTAGGAAGTAAGAAAGGAAGGATTACGAAGGAGTCGAGCAAAAGAAGGGTAAAGAACAAAGGAAGGAAGGAAGGAAGGGAAGGGAAAATGGGGGAAGGTAGGAAAAGGAAGGAAGAAAGGGAGGGCGAAAGGATGAGAAGGCGAAAGGATGAGAAGGCGAAAGAGAGGAAGGGCAAAAGGAAGAGAGGGCAAAAGAAAGGGAGGGCGAAAGGATGGGAGGGCGAAAGGATGAGAAGGCGAAAGAGAGGAAGGGCAAAAGGAAGAGAGGGCAAAAGAAAGGGAGGGCGAAAGGATGAGAAGGCGAAAGGAAGAGAAGGCGAAAGAGAGGAAGGGCAAAAGAAAGGGAGGGCGAAAGGATGAGAAGGCGAAAGAGAGGAAGGGCAAAAGGAAGAGAGGGCAAAAGAAAGGGAGGGCGAAAGGATGAGAGGGCGAAAGGAAGGGAGGGAGAAAGAGAGGGAGGGAGTCATTCTTTGACAGTGGTCAAACGAGGAAAATTGCAAACACTTAGCAATTGAGTACCTTCAAAGCTATCAAAATTCTTAATATCATAATTCAATGTTCAAATTTCGATAAATGATTAAAAAGCAATGCATTGACTGTTTTCTGTACTCTTAATCGCACGTGTTTGCACTTTATGGTCTAAACAATATTGAGTTATTTGTCCATAGGTGAGGCACCGTTTTACTAGGTTTAAAGGGTACGGTGTTAAAAGATAAGTTTTTGTGCTGATCTTAAGTTACAACAAACCTAGCGAGTCGTAATAGTATGAATTATACTGATTTTAAAGCCTTTTTGTGCGAGTATTATGTGCGCAAATGTATTGCTTTATGAGAGGGCCTGGGGGAGGGGAGGAAATTCGGAACGCTACAAACCAAGAGATACAAAAATAATGCATGCTATTTGTAAGTAACCTATTGATGCCAGAAATTGGGGATGTTTATTGTGCATAGAGGGAAAAAGTTCGTGGCACTAGGAAGATTTCGGACCGGGAGGATTATCCTTAGCGCCATACAGATTTACACAGGTAACGAAGAGAAAATGGTCTCGAGGATCGATTCGTTAGTATCCCCAAAAAAGAACCTTTAAAACCGACCACTTTTAATTAAAAACAGCTTTTTTGAATGGGTTTCTTGTTACCCACCCCGGCTAAGTTGTCTCGCATATAAACCAACGACAAGATGTTCAGCCTTCTGGAATTTTCCTCGTGCTTAAATCTTCCTTCCGTCCATGTAAACAGTAATCAAGACTACAAAAATCGGATGCAAATTGTCTTTAACGTGTCCGATAAGACAGAGCTAAAAGACAGCTAGATACGCGTGTTATATTTATTTAGTTTTCTTGTTTTTTTTTCTTTCTTGCTTTTTTAATTTTGTATGTTATTACATTGATAGCCGTAATAAAATATTTTGAGATAAAGAACACTTTAACTTGTTATCTATTTCCTATACCCCCAAGCATGCCCAGCGTTGTTCTGTCATTTTTTCCTTCCCTGTGATCTAAACGCTGTGACTATTTATAAATTAAAGTCTTTTTTCCCAACGTCAGTCCTCTTGATAGCTTAACCTCGCTAATCAGCATAGCTTTTGGCCCATCTAAAAAGTTGACAGAATTTTAAAAGGTTATACAATCATCGCTTAAAACGGGTTCCTGCTATGTGGCATATCCACATTACAGCCAGTGAAGCCCTTTTTAACCCGCCTTTATCTTGGAACTAAGGAACTTCTACTGTGTAATGGTTTCTCAATGAACTTTAAGACGAATTGAACAAAAATTTTGCATCTCTTTTGTACAGAAATAGTTTCTAACCACATTTTCCTTTCAAAAAGTTAGGATCCCTCCTCAAATTCTCACCCCTGGATACATATAACATACTGAATGTGGCTGATTAGCCTCACAAAAAGGTATAAATTTTACACGGTAACTATTGTTTCAACAAAAGTACTCTTTATGATATTTTTCAGTTGTGATAAATCGTTACCCCCTCCTAAATTTATTTTCAATTTATAGTATTTTGGGACAATATTCGACTAAGTCCTGCATGGAGATGAATAATTTTGCTGAAAAACTTCGCTTCGTCTAAATTACAACGCTTTTGGGAGATATAATCTGTTGCAGAAATGACTGAGCCTTTTCACATGACGTCCCCCGAAACTGGTCCTCCATGTTGGTGTCTAAAGAAAATAAAACGGTGTCCACGTTGGTGTCCCAAACTAGTCTTTTCTTATGTAAACGCTTCCTTTTGGCTGCTAGCCACGTGAATGTAAAAGATGTCGTGAATCGGTCTTCGAAATTTGTGATCGGCACGTGACTTTAAGGTTGGATGTAACTTTCCATGGCCACTGCTTGGCATCTAATAATTATCAAGCTGTGCCGACAAAGAGACTAGAGAAAGGTGTTCAAAACTTCTTTTTCATAGCTGTTCATCAGAACTACAGGGGTGAACCATGTGAACAGCAACTTTATTAGTTGTAGGTTTTGTTTATTATTTAATGAGGTACCGTAACATTTGACAGCGAAAAAACTGCTAAACTATATGACCCTCAAAAGTAAGTAAATAAATGTACTAAGTATTCCAAACTCGGGTAAATGGGATAACCCCTTTTTGCGAAAATGTCTTCCTTTCTTTACAGATTTTTAATAGGCCAAATATTAAATTCTTTGCTAGCGTGTTCTTCGACATTTTACCACCATCGGTTAGAACGCGTTCCAAACTAAAATGGGTTTTTCCAAAACCAGTATTTTCCGTTGAGAAAGTGAATATTCCTCGGAGCCTATACGCTGTTCATTGAAAATCTTATCATTCCTAACAACAACGAAACCGGTTCAGTAAAGAAAGCCTTTATTTGACCGTCACAATTTGGCAGTCAGTTAAACATGCCAGTAAAACTTCTGAATATGCTGACCCTAAGAAAACTTGATCTCACCGCATGCAGAATGAAAATCTGCTAAAACTGAACTACATCGGCAGCGACTATTTTCCCCCGATGCAGAAATTCTGTATCCTGTGCAGTGGTTAAAATAGGCCTAAAATGTACTGAATTCAGCTACCATGCAGAAATTCTGCACGCGGTAAAATCCGTGAAAATCTACAGAAACTGGACTACATCAGCAGCGACTATTTTCTCCCGATGCAGAAATTCCGCATCATGTTCAGTCGTTAAAATAGGCCTAAAATGTACTGAATTCAGCTACCATGCAGAAATTCTGCACGCGGTAAAATCCGTAAAATCTACAGAAACTGGACTACATCAGCAGCGACTATTTTCCCCGATGCAGAAATTCTGCATCATGTTCAGTCGTTAAAATAGGCCTAAAATGTACTGAATTCAGCTACCATGCAGAAATTCTGCACGCGGTAAAATCCGTAAAAATCTACAGAAACTGGACTACATCAGCAGCGACTATTTTCCCCCGATGCAGAAATTCTGCATCATGTTCAGTCGTTAAAATAGGCCTAAAATGTACTGAATTCAGCTACCATGCAGAAATTCTGCACGCGGTAAAATCCGTGAAAATCTACAGAAACTGGACTACATCAGCAGCGACTATTTTCCTCCGATGCAGAAACCAAGTTCAGTGGCTAAAACAGGCCTAAAAATGACTGAATTCAGCTGCTGACATCGCCAGAAACTAGACTAAATAAGCAGTATTCGTAAAAGACATTGCCCAATAGTTCAAATAGACTTCAGTTTACTGGAAATGGTGATGCGATTTTTTTTTCTAAATGCATGGTTGCGTCGCCAGCGCATGGTGAAAATCACGGGTAGCCACCCTCGCGCACGTGATACGATGGCTACAGCTGAAAATAACTAAAAAAATCGTTCAAAATTTAATGACTTGATTCCCTGGCATCAAAATCACACGGGGTTTGTCAATAACTAGTGCAGCGGCGACAATTCTCGAAAACATGGCATCATAACCGTAGCTGCGGCTAAATATTGAATACTCCATAAAATTAATCTAACCGCTATTGCACCATGCATACAGTTGTTAGTTGAAACCAAAAAACCTTCAAAATATTATATATCTACTTTTTACTAATGCATGGTTGAAGTGAAAAAGATAAGCAAACGCAATACTTAACAACCAGATAGTTAGGTGTTTTCAAAGCCCAATGCGGTTTGAGAATACAGCCAGGTGTTATCAACACAGAATTGGATGAGTGTCCCATGATAACAACAGCAGCTGTAAACAGAGCCTAAACATCACTCCTCTTCGAATCCTTCTCGGCAGACATAATTGGATCAGCTGAACTGAACTGGACTGCAGGCAGATGACTCGTCAAGAAAATTGTATCAGGCGTACATTTCCGCCCTCTCTAAAGAAAAGTACGCCTGGCCCGGGTTGCTCGAAGCATGGTTAGTGCTAACCAGCGCTAAATAGCATGGAAACCTATACATTTTGATACCTCTTAACCAACGGTTAGCGCTAACCAGGCTTCGAGCAACCGGCCCCAGATCGCAGGTTATGTCCGTTAACTTTTGTTCACGTGGCGCGATGATTATGACTTTCCCCAGGAGCGCGCAGTAATTACCTGTAGCTGCCTGGAGCAATATTTCAATCTTCTCTTCCTGAGAACGACGTTTATCGTTTATCCTTAAAAGAGCCATCTTAAGTTGAATTATAGAAGGTTTTTAAGAGGGCGGGGAATTTGTTGGTGCATCATCATCATGACTGGTTAGTCCATAAAGTCCATTCAAAATTAAAAACATGCATGCACCACGGTTTTCTTCTTGATTGTCGGAATACAAGCTGGCATTAACGTTCCAGTCCGCGGGTTGCCTGAACTAAATAGGGCTAGATTGCAAAATACCCGGTACACCAAATGTCTTACTTAAAAAACTGCTACCGCATTCTCGCAGTCTTGAAGTGAAGTGAAGTGAAATTATTAGTCTCTCCCCTCGGGGCTTTTCAAGACTAATTTATTGCTGTCACGCAGTTTACAATTAATTAAGAAGGTAACAGATGCCCCTCGTTCTTTAGGGACGGACCATTAGAAAACTTATGGGGGGGGGGCGGGCGAAGTACAAAAAAAATATTCGCGCAAGGGAAAATTAAATGAAAAAAAATTCATGCACGCCAATTAACCCTAAAAAATATTCATGCAACGGCCTAAATAAAATTCATGCAAAGAATTTGGTAACGAAAAAAAATTCTTGCAGCTCGAAAATTCCCCTCCCCCCCCCATAACTTTTGTAATGGTCCGTCCCTTAATAGAGGTGTATGACATGTTGAGTGTCCTTAACTGAACCACAAAATGAAAGCTAAAATTTTACGAGAATGCTTAAGCCTAATCACTGAAGCGAGCGCTTAGGCTTAATCAGTAAACGAGTGCTTTCTTCTTCACACGAACTCGTGGAAAGTGTCGTTAACTGAACCACAGAATGAAAGCTAAAATTCTTACGACGCAGTGGCATGGGACAGAAAATGATACATATAAACAATTCTGTTCCTAAACGGGGTATTCTGCAATCACTGCTAAGCTTTCATTTCGCGGTTCGGTTAACTACACTTTTCATGAGATCGTCTGAAGAAGAAAACACTCGTCTACTCATTAAGCCTAAGCGCTCGCTTCAGTGATTAGGCCTAGGCATTCTCGTAAAATTTTAGCTTTCATTTTGTGGTTCAGTTAAGGACACTCAACGTGTCATACACCTCCTTCTTTAATCCACAAATCCTAAAAACGCCACTTAAAAACTGGCCGTTATTTTCAATTATTATTTAACTACTACGTGACTTCGGACCCCGGTCACAACCATTTTACTCTTCGGAGTTATCAAATATCCAGTCATCGACCACGGGACTGTGGACCGCGGTGGCAGTTCATTTTTTGCTTGCCCTTTCAACAGTTTTCATTCATCGACTACGGGACTGCGGACCGCGGTGGCAGTTAGAACACTTTAGAACACCTTATTTATAGGGTGCATAATTACAGTAGAAAAACTGTATTCTCCCTTATGGCCATGTTAAACTAAATACCCTAATAACTAAAATACTAAATTAATAAATTACTCAAATACTAAAATACCCCAATACTCAAATACTATAATATTCAATTACTAAAGTACAGTTCATTTTAATGCTTTCCCTTTAACAATTTCCATTCATCGACTATGGGACTGCGGACCGCGATGGCAGTTCATTTTAACACTTTTCATTCATCGACTACTGGACTGCGGACCGCGGTGGCAGCTTTTTTAAGTAGGGCGTTTGCTGGGCCGGGGATTCTGCAATCATAAATAGTAAGCTCATCTGCTGGCATTAACGGTTGGGGAATATCTTGCGTGTTGTCCTCGTCTCCGAGCGAAGGGTGTCTACATGCTCTTTACGGTAGTGGCGTTTTGCAATTACGCTTACCATTTGATACACTCACCGTTGTCATTTATTCCAGCCGCAGCGCAATGGTCCCCACCTCGACGCCTCTTGATAGGGGTACTTTGAAAGATAGTATCTCCTTTACGTTGACATAAAGCTTCAAGAAATTCTTTTTCCTCACTTATCCGTTTGTCGCTCATAATCACGGTTAATGGCTGAAATGTGCCTTGTACGTATTCCGCATGTTATCTGTCACTGAAAGTGCATCGGATGGTCTGTAGTAAATCAAAGTTGTCGATTATTCGCGTATACCTCGTGCATGGGAACGGTTTCGATTAAACACAGTAACGTAAAATGACGTGTCTATGACGTGTCTCAAAATCATTGGACTATTTCCACGAAACTCTCAACGTTCTTTGTCTCTCTTTATCCCTGTGATTTGTTAAATTCTATTACCCTCAAACACTTTTCAGATGTACCGGCTAGAATATTTTGACACATTAATTCGTTTCCGGTTCTTACAACTTGTCGCACATCCGAAGAAGCTTCGTTTTTAACGTTTCCTGCCTTTACTCGCAAAATGGGCCTCTGGACGATCCAATTAGCAAAACCCGGGGACAAGCCAAAAGTGTTTCGCGATGGTTCGCCCCTAAAAAGAGTGATGGACAGCGTTATGGTACAGTGGTAAACGTGTCATCCTCTGTCCAAGCAGGGAGTAATAAGCTCTTCGTCAAGGTGAGACTTTAAAATTTATCTTTTCCGCTTACAATAATCCCTACTCTAGTTCGATTAATTTTACATGACTATTGTCTTGGGTTTCGAGAAATTGTTGGCTGGAAATTCTTTCCAAGTTTGAGTTCCAAATACCACCACAATCTATTCATTTCCGTTAGCAATGACAGAAAAGTCTCGGTTTAAGATCATCCGGCTATTGTTTACACGTGTCGCGAGAAGCTAGCTTTTGAAGAACGAGGCATACAACAATGGAGATTGTTGTTATCCAGTGGTATGTAACTGAAATAGCTGGGTATTCGGAAATTCTAGCCTATCGACAAAGATTTGTTTAAATTACGTTTAACTGTCTTTGAAAGTCACTCACTAGAAAACTTAACAAAACGTGCTGTATTTGTTTTTTACCTGGTGAGATGTTCATTCAGGTTGAGATGTTGGTCAAATTTGCTATGCTTTGTTTTTAAACAGCATACTTTGTAGGTATACCTCGTCACACATAGATTCCTTTTAAAGAACTCAGCAAAATGAATCCTTATTGATTTTGGATATAAATATTTTGAAGATTTGAAAATCGTGGCTACAAATTTGGCAGTCTGTAGAGGTATGCGAATTTATGAGCTACTATATGTGTCGCATTTGTGCAACGCACTGAATTTACGCAAGTTAATATATTTCATAAAAATTCTTTGACTTGGGCCATTTGTTCCCAAAAGAATAAAACGCAAACAGCGGTTACAAACAATTGTTTGAAATGCATAACTTTTATAAACTTAACGTTTCGTATGTTACTACATGCATCATGAGGAGATCGTGATCTTGATATTTGAACAAAATAAAGTAACGCAATAAATTTTGAATTACATTACGATTTCTTTATAGATATAAAGAAAAGCAACTCTTTAGAAGACCGCTTTGAGCTGTCCAGTTACAGTCTAAAAATCTACAACGTGAATGCTGGTAACCTGAGATGGTAACCGTCGTTACGCTTCTGTGAGTTCTGTCAGCATAGGCGCCAAAACCCACTGAACAGCCAATCACAAGCGCGGTTATATTGAAAAATACGTTGTCATGATTTATGCATTAGGTTCGGCACATGTGAAGTACGACGAATGAATCGAAGTCGATCTTTTGCCGTTCTATTCGACAAGCTCAGTCGAATAGAACGGCAGAGTCGACCCAAATACAAAAGTGCCGTTCGACGTTTGAACCGGGCCTAAGAACACAGAGTTCTAAGAACATTGAAAACACTGAAAACACAGAACTACCGAAACGGTGTAATAAGCTCCAGAAGGCTCAAGAATACACCAGAGGTGAGTCATTTTGATTCATTTTATTGAATGAAAGTTAAATTGAGCATTATTTAGGCTTTATAATCGACGGTATTTGATTTCCCATACAAAGTCTTATAACGCGTTTAAATTCTCAATGGCTGTCTGTAGTGACGCGAGCTTGGGCTGCCTATGTTGAAACTTGAATGTTGAATATGTTAAAACTCCGATCGATGTCTCATTGTGAAACACCAATGTGGCATCACACGCAACAATGCTGAATGATAAAAAACAGCAATGTGCAATTACGAAATTCAAACGTCGCATGGTGATAATGAAGGTTAAATGATAAACTTGAACATTACCCTGCGATTAGGCGTACTTTTCAGGGTGCACTTAAAAAGGAAAGGTACGCCTGATCGCAGGTTACTTGAACATCGAAAGCAAACCGAAAGCAAACCTTGAATTTTGGCGGGGATATAACGCCATAGTTAACATGGAGTATTAGTTGACTGAACTTTGCTGGTCCTTTCGACCCTGTGGGATTGCAATAAACTCTTTCAGGCTCGTTGCTGGCTATTGGAAGTAACGGATTTTATCGGCCTCTTACTAACACATTTCTCCACCTTCATTGTAGGTTGAATTCATTTCAGATGGTAAAAGTCAATTTTGTCTCCTCCCCGGGAAATCCTTCAATCGGTTTGGTTCACATAAGGCTTTCAGCCACTGTGTAAGTAAAACAACTGAAGCTCTAGTCGAAGAGCTTCAAAATGCCTTAAGAAAATTGAGGTCGTCCCAAGACGATTCATCTAGTTCGTGCAATAAAACAGACGTTTTATCCGAGTCCCTGTCCGAGGTAGTCGCAGACATCGAGAAAGGTCCGGATATCGATAAGACAACAGAGAGCAGCAAGCAGCAAAAATACGTCCCGGCCTGTTCCAGCAAAGCAGCAAAAAAAAATACGTCCCCGGCCTGTTCCAGCAAATCTAGGAAAAGGAAATGCTCGTCCCCTGCGTCAACGGCCACCAAAAAAAGTTGCACGAAGTGATGAAATGCAAGAATCGTGTGAGAAGTGCCTTATCTCAAGTGAGTGCTTTTATAGACTTCATCATGAAAGGTGTCCATGTTGGTGGGGAAGAAAATAGCCTGTCGCTTTACTGGCAATTAAACTTAAAGTTTTGAGCATATTATTAAAAAAGATTGTATTGTATTTTCGTATTAAAGCCAATTGCATGTTTGTTACATACGGGCAATTTCCTATACTTTGCATCGTTTACATTAACTACGTGTGCATGTACTTAAAATTCTGATTGGTTCTCTTAGAAGCTCTCTGCATCTCTTGTGATTAGTCCAAGTGATTGCTGTGGTTTTTGCGGCACTCAATTTGAAGACCACTCTATTAATTACACCAAAAATTAGAGAAAAATTTGATCACGTACACGTGTGATTTGCTTGAAGTAAAATCGTATCATCTGACTTCCCTACCCCTTTTCCCCCACTCTGTTTATATACACAGGGTTCGTATAGGTTCTGTTTAGTCATGGAATTCTATTGGTGGTGTTGAATGGGACTGGAAACTCCTGGAAATTGTAACTTTAACTCCAACAATATTTTTTCTTGATTGTCAAGCACTGCAAAAACCTGTCTTTAATACTCCCTGAAACTTTACTTTAAGTGCCTATGAAGTAAAATTACATTTGCATTTGAGCGAAAATGGCGCTTTCTCTTTCAAAAGATGTTTTTTCATTCCCAAAGCTTAAAATTGATGATGTCATCAGTGGTTCAAGCAAGAAGATAAATCACAAAATTGATAATATCTCTGGGAAATATATAAGTGATGCCATTTAAACTTGGCACCAGTAATAGGCCATTTCAGAAATGTGAGAGGACTGGGACGAGTTTGGTTGCTTTCTGTTTGTTTAAAAAAAACTAAGACATTCAAATGAGAGATCAACCAAGTTTGAGATGTATTTAGAGGAGGAAAATGGCGAAATAATATATCTTCAAATATCACCTAAAATAGAGAGTTCGTATGGAATGGGTAGACAGGCCACAAAATTAGAAGGGTTTGTATGGGATTTTGCAACTTTTGCAAGTCTCCCATTTGGCCAATTTTCCGTAGAAAACTCTCAAAGTTGGCTGGATAGCTTTTTATTTGGTAACATTTCAGTTGAAGAGTTTAGATTTTCAATCTAAGCAAGTATGAGAAACTCGTCCTAGTCCTCTCACGTTTCTGAAATGGCTTATGTACGTCAGATAAGACATAATAACAGTTCTGCTTCCCAGTCTATTTCATGCTGGATTAAGTTTCCAGTTTTTTTTTTAACATTATTAAGCATTGTCCACCTGTGATGAGGTGGTAAAGAGTAAATAAGGTAATATGGGTATCACATGTGTTTTCAAGTAAGACCATCTGTTCCTCCTCACCTGTTCAAAATTGGAGATATTTGATTCATGGCTAAAGAAGCCTTAGACCTAGAGTGTTGCTATGGGAACATCACAGAAGGTATCATTTTGCTTATTTCCTGACGTTCATTACTGGTGCCAAGTTTAAGTTTCTCAAAACTCCTGAAAAGCTGTTCTGCATGCATTAGGCTCATTCCCAGAAGTTCTCTTCTGTTAATAACTAAACACGCTATACACTGTACAGTTAAAAATTACATTAGGCTGGCTATCTCAAAGTACAATTCAGTCAAAAACAGCTTGAAAAGTGGCTTCTCAAACCTGAAATGTTTCTGGAATTTTGAGAGAGGCATGCCAGTTGTTAAATCTAGAAAATGCAGTATCTAGACTGCAGTTAATATTAAGACGATCTATGTTTTGTTTTAATCATCACAGCAACATCACAACTCATTCCCATTGAGAAGCTTGGTTTGCCTGTCGGCCCATCAAGGCAATTTCGACGCGTAAATGATGCATTTGTTGACAGCCTCAAAGAAGAATTGTTAAAAGAGCCAAGTGGAAGTCATGGATGTCTGTTCGTGGTTGCAAAGGGTGTAGAAAGCAAAGAAACATTTGATCCAGCTAAAAAGGATGCATATGAGTACGAAGTTTTGGGGGGTACTCACCTGATGCTAGCCACCAAGAAACTTCATTCCCAGTACCCAGAAAACAAACATTACCAAGGCAGAATGGCAAGAATCTACTGTGGCCTTACAGATGATCAGGCTGTTTACCTTGGTGCCATGCATCAAAGGTCGTCATCATTCTGTCATGACATTACATACAGAGAAGAGGTACATTTTGTATTAAAATTTTGGATTTGAAATTGAATTCAGGCATGCTTGAAGCATACCACATTGTTGTTGTCATTAAAGAAAGTGAATATTATTTGCTAGTCTGTCAATGAATATGAAACACTGCATAATCAATGATGTTGCATGTACATGTACAGTGTATGTAATGGCCAGCCTGTTTGTTAATATAGAGCCCAGTTAAGGCAATATGAAGAATTAATAACTTTTAATATGCCCTTTCCCACTACTTTCCTTGTGTCATCTAATTTACAGCATTTTTTTCTTCATACAAATTAATTTAGGTAGAGAGATGTAGATCTCAACTATATGGAGAGCTTGATGTACAGAGTGAACCTCCAAAGCCGCAACCATCGTGGAGAGATGAGTGTTCTCGTATTTTATACAAAGATGTAAGAATTTAATTCACTTAAGTAATGCAAGTTGAGTTTTTTAAAAGAAATTGCTGAAAGGAGTGGTAACAGAATTACAGTCGTGACATTTTCCTACATGGAAACAGAGAACCATTAATTTTTTGGTTATTGCCTAACACATAGTCACTTGATTACAGTTGAATGGTGTTCAAGTTTTATTTGAAGTACTTTTGTCCCCTTCCTTGACCAAAGACAGTTATATTGTTCTGACATGTAGTTACATGCACCTAGCCAATCTCCGAGGTCATCTATCTTTTTCTATACGTGTACTTTGCTATGTCACCATTATCAGCAGCTCACATTAAGAAATTCTGTCTTACAGAAAAGAATTTTTTGTGTGAGGTCTTCACTATGGCACAAGTATCCTCAAGTACTTGGGGCGCTTTCATGGAGGTAAACAGGCTGTACGAGATTGGGAAGCTCAAAGGGCAGAAGTTTTCTCCTGGCGATGTCGTCAAAGGGACATTAGCAATTAAACAGTGGCATATGAAGCCATTAGTCAGCCTTCCTGATGAAACAAAACTATTCCTTTTGAACAAGGTAAAGGCAATATTGCAACAGTCTGGCATGAAATTTTGTTTTTCACTCCATTTTGTATTTTATTATATTTTAAGTTAAATTCCACTTCTTTTCAGTGGCTAATAACCCCAAGAATTTAAACTAATTTTGTGTACTTTCTCTCTTTGGCATCCCTTGAAAATGTGTTTATGTAGCTTCTGTTCCAATTGTCGCTCTACAAACCCCTGTCTTTATTATCTGGTTCTTTTTAGATCTCTTCTGGTGAATTGTTATTAAAAGATTTAAAAACAGAAGCAGACAAGATAAAGACACTGAACACTGTACAGTTTACAGTTATGTCATTCTTTAAAGTAGACGATTGGGATGAGATAGTCAAGAGATTTGGTCCAATGGTCAACAACGAGAAGCTGTTGAGATTTACAGTAAGCCAACATGTTTTTCGTTGACTAATATAGAAATTACCTAGTATGTAACTATGTAAACAGTCATCTGCATTAATTATTACATTACACAGTATTCACATAGTTTTCTTCTTAAGACCTGATCCATTTTTGTAGAGATTTACTGTGGAAATCTAAAAGCTATGAACACTTTGATTTGATTTTTACATTTCCCATTGTACAGCAACCAATCAGAAGTAACGCAAAACCTCAAACTACTTATATTACCATTACTGTTTGTGGTTTAATTTATTATTCTTGTGCTTGAAATTTAACCACATTGACCTCTTAGTGTTCACAATTTTTGGATTTTCATAGTAATACTTCTAGTGTTAAGAAAAAAAAATTTGAGAACATTTTTCATTATATGCAAGTACAAAATACAACTATATATCCTGCAGGTTGGGGAGGAGAAATTAAGGTAAATAGTAAGTTCAAGTGATACAGTGAGAGTAGCTGACAATTCTATCATGTATATGAAGAAGAGGTAACTATTATCTACTGCAAAGGAATCTACTGAAGGAGCAGACTGTTCTTAAGGCATTGCATTACCACCAATTCTTGCTGGGTAATCAGTAGGAAATCTTTTAAAGATTTACTTCCAATATTTTTTTGTAGCTTATTGTTCCTATTCCTTCAATTTAGGGAAATTTTGAGGCCTCATATGATTTCCAAGTGTTCCTGAAGAGGTTGAAAGAGTGGGAATCTGCTAGGCATGAGGCAGCAGAAGATACCCCAGTTGCTACCCTGGGGGTTGAAGAATTTACTGTCAGTAATGAGGGTCTGCACAACAAGGGCAGTGCTGTTTTCCTTGTAACCTTCAAGAGGTGACCCAAAGCATGGAAATCTTCAAATTGAACTTTGAGGGCATCTCCCTTGCCCTAGGAGTTGTTGGATTTGATGATAAGGTACATGACATGCCTTCCTGTGTGTTTGTAATAAGCATTAATTCCTACACATCTTCATCTTATTTTGATGGATGTTAACTGGCTTGTAAAATGACAGTGTGACAAATTCTTCCTTTTTTTTTTCACAAACTACTACTGTGACCATAAGGAACTTTAAAAGGAGAATCTTCAGCTGAACAGAAGTTAGATGAAGCTTTTTCTCATTCCACTTTGTCATTAAATGTATTAAACACCACTTTCAGTTCTGAAGAATTGTGATAACCAACCACCAAAATTCATTACTTGCTCCCCTCAAAAAAAAAGTTGTTCTGTGTAGAACCCAAGTGCTGTTAATACTCCGTTACTTACAGATATTTACATGTATGTTAAATGTGTTTCCTATTGTACATTGTCTGTTGAAAGTCACCCACAAAGTCCAATTAATCAAAGGTTTCTGTTGATAATAATAATTATTGTCTTATTGCTGTTTTCAATATATTTTAGGGACAGCTGGAAGTGGAAGAAAAATGTAGTGAAATAGTTAAGCTGCTTTCAGACTAAACTTCACAGTCCTGAGCTCATTTAACTGTGTCATTATGTGTCCTGTGCACTGGGCGCATATTGTGTCGAAACATTTACCAAGGAAGGTGCAAGCCAGACCCAACAGGGTTTTATCTATCATAAACAACAACTGAAAAGTAGGCAAGGTGAGAGAATAGGCCATTATTAATATACATGGAATCAATTGCTGACAATACCCTAATTCTCTGTTTTCCACCGCGCACAGGTGGCTCAGTTGGTTGAGTACCGGGCTGTCGTGCGGGGAGGTTGCAGGTTTGAACCCTGGCCGGACCATTACTCGGGGTCTTAAAATAACTCAGTGCTGCCTTTGTAATGACATCTGCAAATGGCTAGACTCTCTAGTCTTCTCGGATAAGGACGATAAACCGTTCGCCCCGTCTCACAACCTTTCAATGTTCATAACCCTGTGGGACGTAAAAGAACCCACACACCATTTGCAAAGAGTAGGGCATGAAGTTCGCGGTGTTGTGGTCAGGCCTTATTTCATTCATTCATATGCATTGGGTTGGGTGAGATCGCTAATGGACTGATAGCGGCTTCCAGAGGCACCTGTGTATGCTGAGGTCCGGTCTCACCCATGGATCTATAACTTGTAAAGCGCATTTGAATATGCATATAGAAAATGCGCTGTACAAATTCAATACCATATTTTTCAAGACCAATGTTTTCTATTTCTCACATCACAGCAAAAATTGAATTAATTTTTATGTCTAACCTGGCATATGTATTACTTGTTCACATTGTAATAAATCTGTTGTTAATGCTTTGCCTATTTCTAACCTTTAGGTAGCAAAATGCAAGAGGTGGTATCCTCATTTATTGTTGGCCACTGGGCTTCATCTAGGATAGTGGGAAAGAGCCATGTCAATTATGCCACTCCTCCTCCAAACATTGTTGAGGTGACTTCTGCAAGAATAGGGGAGGAATACCCTGTTTCCTTTTTTTAAGGACATAATCAGTTGGTTTTCAAAGGATGGAGACTTAATCCTAGAAGTAGGATATGGGGATGAAGTTGGTATGTAAATTTCATTTAGGGGGGTGTTGCTCTGATTTTTTACACGGAATGACTTATCTTTTTAGTAGAGACAAGATATGCCTTTCAATTAAGTGTGTTACAGGCAAGTAATTTTGCATGTATATACCATATCATTTTTGTGTGATTTATGGAGTTCTTGATGAAAGGGCCTTCACTTACTTGAAGTTCTGGATCTGCCAGTGTAATGTGTCCCTAGAGCTGCAGTCTGCATGCTCTATTGCAGTCCAGATGATTATGTTTTGATATAGACTGTAATACTTGACCTACCATGCCATATTTTGTAGGTTTAAAAGGGATTATTCATTTCTAGTCGGTGTCAAAAATGTATAAATTGACATCACTCTTGCATCTCATTTTGTTAGTTACTGTTTTAAAATTATGTGTAAATTAATTGTTGTGATGTGCATCTCTTTTACACCCCTCATGCTTTTCTCTTACAGGGAATGCTTTTACTGCCGCTCTGATGTGTGGAAGGAAGGCTACATTGACAGGCACATCATGTGACAAGCGCATTATCTGCCAAAAACTAAGTACCAGTACTCAGCTCACAACTACTCAGATAGATTAAGGCCTGGTTGTTTACAGATTTAAAGTGCATTTTAAACTATTGTAAACTATTGAAAATATCCCATGACTAAGGCTTAACGACTGGTAAGAAACAGATCTTACAAATTCATTTTAAACATTTTAAACTCAGTCCAAGTGTATTTTTCAGGCCAGTGTTGGGGTCAATACCGAGAATTTGGAGCTTAACTCATTTGTGATTGGCTAATGGGATGTGTTGGTTAAAATTTTCAACCAAGAAAGGGCATTTCTAATGATTTGTTCAAGTTAGCTATCTTGCTATTCCTCTTGGACGCCTTTAAGTGAATTTTGGAAAATGTGCTTACTCTTTTATTCAAAGAGTTAATTACGGAGGCAGAAAATGTTGTACCTTTTGAGTCGTTACAGGAAATCCTATGTTCTTACCATTCGAATGAAACCGCTGCAGCAGTACAAAATGAAAATTTGGATTTTTCCAAACGTTTACATAGTGACCATTGTTGTAGTGAAAGGTAAAGAATCACAAAAATAAATCATTTTAAGACCAGCCCTTAATCTACTTGAGTACCATATGGTTTAAGAGGGCTTTATTGGTCATTTTGTTTAGTACAGTTGAAAATTCAGCTGTTGCAAACTAAATTAGATGTTTGGTATATGATGTTGTTAGTAATAAACTTCCAAATTTTAGAATTGACTTTGATTAGCACACCATTAGTATTAGTTCTTTTGCTATAAACCTAATTATACAATGCCAATGTGTAATCTGCACTCCGGCACTGCAACAAGTTAGCCAGAAACTGAAATGACTATAATTCACTTTTTTTAATCCAATCTTGTTTCAAAGTGGCCAAAACCTGTGTAGTGAATTGAATAGTGAATTACATTTTGATTGTACAGAGGTTTTGCATCTGTTGTTTTGAAGTTGTTTCTACACCCTTCATTTTGCTGTACGTAAATAAGTCAATTAAGTGGAGAATAAGATTTACAGAAAGTCTGCATCTTTTGAAGCCACTAGGCTGAGATGATTTTTGCATCACACAGTTGTTGTAGAAAAAGTGTGGAATTTAGCGAAAAATAAGATTTGCAGAAATTGTGCGTCACGCAACTGTTGTAGAAAAAGTATCGAGTCTAGCGGAAAATCAAATTTGCAGAATTTCTGCATACAACGTTTTCAAGCCACTAGGCCGAGATGCAGAATTTCTGCATCACAAAGTTGTAGAAAATGTAAGAATTTAGCAGAAAATAAGATTTGCAGAATTTCTGTATCCCACTTTTTCAAGCCATTAGGCTGAGATGCAGAATTTCTGCATCACACAATTGTTGTTAGTAAAAGTATCGAATTTAGCGGAAAATGAAATTTGCAGAATTTCTGCATACAACGTTTTCAAGCCACTAGGCTGAGATGCAGAATTTCTGCATCACAAAGTTGTAGAAAATGTAAGAAGTTAGCAGAAAATAAGATTTGCAGAATTTCTGTATCCCACTTTTTCAAGCCATTAGGCTGAGATGCAGAATTTCTGCATCACACAATTGTTGTTAGTAAAAGTATCGAATTTAGCGGAGAATGAAATTTGCAGAATTTCTGCATCCAACTTTTTCCAGCCACTTGGCTGAGATGCAGAAGTTCTGCATCATACAGTTGTTGTGGAAAATGTACAGAATTTATCAGAAAGTAAGATTTACAGAATTTCTGCATCAAACTTTTTTCAAGTTATGCAGAAATTCTGCATCGTTCATTTGCGTTAGATAAACTATACTGGAATTTGTCTGCAGCCTGTAGTCCTGTGGCCAAGAACACCTTTTCCTTACTGCAGCTTTTTAGCCCATTTTTTGTGTCCATGTGTTACCCGTAATTTTTGATTGTATATTTTTAGTGAAAATATAAGTGCAGAGTAATTATGATCGATTAAAACAACTGTTTGAAATTGTGATTCGGTAGTGTTAACAGTGTATCACTCCAACTTTTGATATTACTGCAGTCAAGTCTTTTAAGTTCCTCTCGGAAATCACGTTTTATGCAGAACGAAAGGGAGCTTTTATGACGGAATTTTGTATTTTGGAAAAACTCATTTTAGTTTGGAACGCGTTTTAGATAGGTTGCTGTGAGTCATAGTAAAGCAGGTTGAGAGCGGCTGGGAGCATTTAGTTCAGATAATTAGTCTTTTAAGCTAAATCTCGTGAATACTGTTCAGCACTGTCAGTACTCAGGTGGTGAGCTCAAGAACGATGCTGAAGAACGCCCTTTCTGTTGCGTTGCTGCTGTCTGCTACTGTTTCAGTAGGTACGACGTACGTAAGGTGGTCTCATTTGTCAGGGGCACCCAACAAGAATATAGTTCAAAACCACTTAAACATAGAATTGTTAAACGTATTTTAGTATTTAAACGGTAGATATAGGCATATTTTTATCCCCTAAAAATTTTTCATCTGTTCGGATTTCCTAGCTGAAAGTCTAGTGATCCGAAAATTATAGAGATCAAAACTTACCTTTTCGAAAATTTCAGCGAGCAAAAAGGCTCCCGAAAATTCTAGGTGACCTTTTTAGGGTAAAAATCCGTTAAAAATAGGCAATTATACCATTTTTTAGATGTTCGAAAATCCTAGGAGAGGCAGGCTGGCAAGAAATTTTACAACAAATGTTCCGAAAATTCTAGATCTCAAATCGTCTTCCGAACAGATATTTTTCCGAAAATTGTCGTTGGGTGCCGGGTGATTTGTCTCTTTAAGGCTTTCACTGCCAAATGTAGCCAAAGACAAATTTCGACCAGATTTTCAAATTTCATT